TCTTGCCTGTCGAAAGGACTGCAGCTACCAGCCTCATCCTGGTCATTCAACGGATCACTGCCACCAAACTCACATAGGTTGTCGAAATAATCGCTGTCACCAAGCTTTTCCTGGTCATCCAACTGATCACTGCCACTTTGGCCGTCAACATAATCATTGCCACCAAACTCATCTTGGCCGTCGAATGAATTGCTCTCATCAAACCCATTGTGGTCGTCCAAGGTATTATACAAGCAGTGTACACTACGCTGAATCCGATCAACCAACGAAAGAGGAGGTCCCTTCTGGAAGCTGGCATGATCAACTCTCTTCTTGAACAGCTGGATGATAACATTGCACCTACTCAATGGAAGGTAATTGAAGTTACGAGAGTAGGATCTAACAGTAACAGAATATTCCCCAAAAGGTAAGCTGGAATAGCCACGAAACTGGGACACCACATCAAGACCAGCTGGAGATGCAAAGTCCCTCTCAAACTGCGTGTCGCTTTCGTGTGCATTGTCGATGTACAGCACGAAGCACCCGGGTTTTATTTCTCGGAGAATCGAACGGAGGAAGTTACCTCGTGATCGTCCATGGTTCGTTCGGAAGAAAGCAGATACTGCTGAGAAGAATTTTACCAAGGTGATCAAGTCAGCCTGTTGGATGAATTGAAGGGCATTGCTTGCGAGACCTACATCTCTGACAACATCGCACCTTTGGTATTTTACCCTAAAATACTCTGGAATGCATTGGTGTATTGTGTCCCACGTGTCTTTCCAGTTGGGATACAGATCCAAGACCAGACACTCCAGCGAAGGAGGGAATATTCCATACTCACGGAGGAAGGTTGTCACGCCCACCAGGTCAGACCCAGGCCCGCCCCCGATGCTGCACACTTTCATGTTGCTCATGTTGCGCCATGCAGCTATGATGTCATTTGATTCGCGTTGAAGTGAGAAGTGCACGAGATGACACTGCTGCATCAGGTACAGGAACACGTAGGCGCAGCGGTAGACTGAGTCACTCCAGTCGGGTCGATACTGACTAGAGGCTATCGAAAGTCCTCCTTTGTACATATGGGAGATGTTTTGCAAAGCATGCTTGACTTTTTCAGTTCTTGATGATCCCGAAACCTGGTCCATGAGGTCGTCCAAGACCTCTGTCAGTATCTGACGAAAAAGGTCTGCAGGTTCGACCCGAGCAGATGTCAAAAGGCGATTCCAAGCTTCCATGGTCTGTAATAATCCATCCAAAAATGAAAAAGGAACAGTAAAAGTTCATGCATCATGAATTCACTGGGAAAAGGGTGTTCCATTTTTTTGCAGCAGTGCACCAATCAACACTATATGAATATAAAAATGTTAACGACTCATTACGTATTACACTGCACTTTAACCAGTCTTGATACAAAACCTTACTGGCAGAATACCGTGCAAAAACATAAACAGATGGGGGGCATGCCCCCTGAAAGGGAAATTCTTTTTAAAATTTTAAGGAGAGAAATACTATTTGGGGGTAATATTACCTGCCTTCCTTTCCAAAGTCTTTAAAACAAAAAAAAATAGTTCAGAGAGGGTTCAAAGTGTACATACAGAAATTCCTGAATCAATTTGCCTGAATCAATTTTTAAATGTTTTCGGTAAAATATGAAGCTATCGAGTAACAATGGAATGAGCTACAACATACTTTAACGCGGGTACCTCAACATGTCAACTGTATACTGGATTGAACTCTGCCCTGGCCTACGTCTTTGTATTCGTTCTATTTTATATAACAAAATCGTTTGGTATACATGTATAGACAACAGATGTAGATACAGTAAATTGTCCTTGTTTGTTGACGGTCCTCTTTACTAAACAAGATGAGCGTGTCAAACAATGAGTTGCACATAACGAAAATGAAATTCGACGCAGAGAAACATGAAGCCATTACAAAAGTATCAACTGAAAAAGCTTCTTACGTAGCTGATCTGAAGTAACAGTTCACCGTGTAACATTTTGAAAATCACTAAATGAAAAGATTGTTTTATTTCAGAAGTACCTGAAATTTAGGCTGACAAAACTTACGGGTGTTTTGTGTTCTGATTTCCACACGAATTTGGTGATACACAGCAGTAAAAGGAAATATTCAGGTTATTAGAATTCAGTGACAATGCTTTATGAATTGTGGAAAATGTCTTACATTTTATAACAAATTCCTTTTAAAATATTTCCAACGAGTTTTTAGGTATTTAATACACAAATACCACAGAGACGGAAAAGGATATTTGCATAAAGCGCAGTCTACAAAGAAGAGTGATTTTAAAGAAATTTATAAAAAGCTATGATACTAAAAACGATGATATTTATAATTATTTTTAAGTCCCAGCTAGTAAAAACTCCTCTATTCCTGAACATGCAACTCCACGACTATGACGTCACTGTGTACTGTTAAGTCAGGGTAGCGCAGTATTTCTTTCCTCACCTTCCACTTCTGCGGTCCGGGTTCGAATCCGGCTCAGTCCATAATGTGGATTGGGTTTTCAGTCCCTACCTGAGTCCGTGGGTTTTCCCCAAAACACCTATCATGGGTTTTCCTCCCACCTCTAAATCTGAACATTTCTTCATTGCCTTCACTCATTACCATCCTGCAATTGGCGCTAAATGCGCTATTGGATGAACAGATTTAAATATAAATAATTATTTAGTCAAGACATGGAGCTAAAATGCACAAGGAGTAAGCATATACGGAGATCAGAAGGGTCAATGACGGCCACCGCCAGCATTGCACGTACTGCATGGACAAAACAAATTACGCACCACTTCCGGGCTCTAACGAATGCTCGGAGTTGCATTTTTAAAGGATTGTGGGTACTGCGCATGCGTGTCAGTAAACTTCAGGGCGTTCAATATGGCCGCCATCGAGACGGAAACCACCGTCATCTGAGACTTAAATTTGATAATTTAGTGATTGTTCTGATATTCCAATTGTGGGAGGGGTGCTATCTGGTGGGGGTGCGCATGAACAGGCACACCAGAACAACCTGGGCTGGGATCTCTGCTGGTGTTATTGCTATTTAAATTTCAGCAGTAGACAGGCCAACAGCGGAGGTGACAGCAAACATGAGGAATTTAAGAAAAAGAAACACAACTTAAGTTAATTGTTCTTTCTAGGTGAATGGCAGGAATTATACATGTATAATCTGAATGTATTGAAATGGCACAGTTTGGCCCTAAAATGATGAAATTGGAAATGTCTGGAAAAACAATTTATCTACTCTACTCCTTCCAAATTAATCGCCAAGAAAATTAAATTCACACTGTGGACTTCCTCCTGATGGAAATAACAAAGAGTTCACCCTATTGTCATTATCCAATCTTAAAATTACATGTACATTGGAATAAAGACTATAAATCAATATCCCTCAAGTACTGGGAAGATTAGTCTTTAATTACTGTGTACCTTAGAGATAGAATCTAATATGATTGAAGTCCATTCATTCCAAACAATTTCAAAATTAAAGCAATAATCATCTCCAATAAGCAAGGGATTTACACGTCACTTAATCCTCAAGTACATGTGCCCGTCTCATTAATTTATATGTCACAATTTGCCCAACATGTGCCTGTACATGTACATGCAAGTAATATACACTTATGCGAAACCAGTAGCTTCCTTCATTAAATGATCTAAACTACATAACCCCAAATAATTACTCCACCATAGATCCTACTCATAGTTTTGGTCTCGGCACCATGGATGTCGATACAGATATATTTATATATACATTCATTGTCTGACTTGTCTGACTTGTCTGAGCACACTGCAGTAAGGCCGCCATTATTTTACCGCCCGAGGGTAACAAAACCATTTGCCCAATTTACCCATAAAATAATGTGTTTATACCCTTCCCACGATGTCTAACAATTCTTCCACTCCCCTGGAAACCCATTCGATGATTAACATGAAATTTACAAGCCCAAGAAAAGTCAAATTTACCTATTTAAATTTACACAGTAGACAAGCCAACAGCGGAGGCGACGGCAAACATGAGGAATGCCCCTGCCACCGCATGATGGCGCTGTTGCTACACACCAGCATACTCACAATTATATGTACAATATGCATGACATTCCTCACACAATGATAATGAAAGCCTGGATACGTCCTTACACCCCAAAACGTCTCTCTTAACACAAATCCTCCAAAAATACGCGACAAGAAAACTGAAAGAATGCAGCTGGTCCAGAGGAAAATGAAAAAACACAAACACATGGGATGAATGCCACGAAACACATTGACCGTCAACATAATCACGGTCAACAGATTCATCTATCTTGGCCGTCGGAAGGCTCACTGCCATCGAACTCATCCTGGTCATTCGTCCTTTGTTGAATGTATAATTGAACTGTAGTCATGAAATGCAAGATTTGCAAAAATACACCAGTTCAAACATTTCTACGCACTTACTAAGTACCTCATCAGGAAACTACCTGCACGTGTCAACTGTGCTGGATCCAACGTGGACTCTGATCTATAAATCACCTCTTAACATTTTATTTTTATATTTTCTATAGCAGAGATTTGTGTGTTTACAATAGATGTAAATACCACAAGCGGATTGTCTTCGTGTGTTCACACTGTTCTTCACATGGATAGGTGTCTCAAGGTTGAAGTGCATAAAAAGTGTCATTACAAAGTGCAAACCGCACCCATTTTGCATTGGAATATATGGTTACAAAAATGGACACAAAAAGATTAAGTCGATGTATACGCAAGAAGCAACTTACTGTTTAAACTTTTTTTCAAAAGCAGAAAATGAAACGTTTGTTTCACTTGAGAGCTACTTTAATTGGTCTGGCAAAATCTCATGAAGAGTTTTCTGTTGTATTTTTACATTCAGTATTTCGGATTACTGTTAAATGCAGAAGCATGCTACACGTGGAATGGTCCATTACATTTTACAACAATTTTACATTAAAACATTTACACCTGGTACATGTACTTACGCTTGAATAAAAATCATCACATAAACGCAAAAAGAATCAAAACGCTGTAAAGTCCAGCGCATAGTTTGCGAAGTGGTCTCCAGTCAGTACATTATGTATTGCTTGAATTGTTAAGACCTGCATTTACTAAGATTGTAATTTTGAAGCAAACTAAATAAGTGAATAATATAAAGTTTTATCTTTATTCTGATTTGTATGTATAAAATACATGTACTCATATCAATAATATAAGTACTATCATTTCAAGAAATATTGGTATCATTAGTAAGCTCAAAGCCTTCTTCCCAAAGAAAGTCCTCTTCGTGCTGTATAATTCATTAATGTTGCCATATTTAAAATATGGGATTCTGGCGAAATTATGCTGTTGAGCACATTAGCAGAATTCATAGCTTACTAAAACGAGCTCTAAAGGCAATTAATTTTGTCAATATGTCAGAACATACAAGTTCTTTTTTACAGACACAAAACTCTTAAGGTCAGCAACATTTACTCTCTTCAACTCGGAACCTTTATATACTGTTTAAGTAACAATTCCCTCCCAACTACAATTAATAAAATATTTTGTAGAAATGAAACTATTCACCATTATTTTACAAGAGAGTCTAAAGAATTTCTCTCTTTATTTGAGAGAACGACCATTTTCCAAAAGACAATTCGTCATCAAGACCCCAAGTACTGGAATTCCCTACATAATTCACAGTCTCCCCTTGTTTAAATCTTAAAAAACTTAAAATTATCTTTTGTCAATTACTTGAATTCTGAATAATATTGCAGGCTAACATGAACATGTAGGCCTACATGTGCCAACAATTTTTAGCATTCTTCCACCTCTTTGACAGAAGTTTGGTTTTGTCGATAGTTTAGCTTTTTTTTAATTAATTTTTTTACGTGTTTAAGTGCATAATGTAATTTTTTTCAGTTAAGGTTCAAAGTAAAATTTTAGCTTTCAGTAGGGAGATCCTTACTTGACAATCATTGCTTTTGGAGATCTCCGTCCATGTCATTATGAATAACTCCGGAATATAATTGTATGTATTGAAAATGTGTCAAGTGATGTGGAAAAAAATAATAAAGAATGAAATGAAATATATACATTGTTTTATGTTTAATAAGAACACACTGAATGCAAGACTTGGTGATACAACATTTCAAAGATTAACTGACAACATGGTGGAGGGCCCACTGTGAATTCGTTTGAAAGGATTATTTTTTTCCTTCTTGCTTTAATTTCTGGAATTTGCAGGAATCGAAAGCTGCATTCAACTACAAATCTGTCTTTATACAAAGATTAAAATACGTATTCTTCTGTTATATGCAGCTCTTTGCCGGTCGAGCAAGAACGGTACATTCTAATATACGTGTGTGTGTATTGCTTAATTCAGAGGCAACATCATTCGAAGGGCCAAAACGAAGCATTCAAGACGTTTTACCTACAATATGATGAGCACTATACAGTATACAATCTTCGCCTTTACCTTTCTGTGCCTTAATACTTTATTCTGAAAAGGAAGGAATGGACTAATGACCATTTGAATCCAAAAAGAGTGAGAGCATCGTTCCTCTTTTGTATACATTCCCCCGATATCATCGACCAAATTAAAAAGTGAGAGTTTGTAAAGTGGCGCGTATTCAGACGTGCCAATGGTGCCACTTTTGCGAACTGTCCCATTTTCTACGCAGGCTGCCAAAACGTAATTGTTGCGGTAACAGTTTACATACTTGATTCACAGACGGTGGTATGAAATTCTAGCAGCCATAATAGCCAGCAGTCACAAAAATGCTCTGCCCTATCAAAAACACAATAATGTAAAAAGCATAGGTGTGTTTAAACGTCACCCCATGTTTCAATTAAACCTACCTCTTAATCTCCACACCCTGATGTCATATGTCAAATAAAGCGCAGATTTTAGGCTATAAAAACAAAGCATAAATGTGAATTTGTAAAATCCAAAAATGACTCCTCAGAAAAAAAAGGGGGTGGATGATAGGAAGGTTATTGTATGTATCGACTCACGACTAAAGCTGCAACAGTACAACCGAATTCCAAATCAATTCCATTTGGAAAACCTGTGTTAATAATTGTAATGACGCAATAAAAGAGAGGGGATCACAAAATCGAGCATGCCGGACAGCACATTCTGACTTTAACTTCATCATTGTAATTTTGTCTCGATGCCCCGTGGCGGCCGCTGTTCGTCGTTCGGAGGCTGGTGGTTGACACATGAACGGGTCTGTGCCGACGAGTTTCGCCGGAGGGTGTTTGTGTGAGCGGTCCGAGCGGGCTTAATTCCCGTTTTGATTCTCTGGTTGGTTTGGGGTTGGAGGGGCTGGCAGAGATTCTGATATCGCGAGGATCTGTAGGGGATTTATGGCCCACGGACCTTGTAATAGTGCTTCTCGGTGGTTCCTGCGCGGAAGAGGAGATTCCATACAGCTGGTAAAAGTTGGTATAAGCCGGTCGATTGTAATTGGGATGAGCTGTTATGGATTGAGTTGTGCTCACCTGAGGCGTCATGTCCATTCTGCGAGAACTGCTGGAGGCAGAAGTCACGGCCTGGGACGAACAAATACCCCATAATGGGTTTGCGACGGTTACTGAGGGGCGCGTTTGGGGCACAGCTGTCTGCTTGGAGGCGATCCTCGCTAACTTGTTGCCGGTTGGGTTATTCTCGTCTCTGATGGCTAAAACGGATTCAATTGATCCCTTCTTTCGGAAGAGTTGGATGACCACCTCACAGTTTCGCATCGGACTAAAATCAAAAAGTCGGCAGTACTTTCTGATGGGAAAGGAATATTCTCCTTTAGGCAACGTGGGTTTGCCGCGGAATTGAAAGACTAAGGCCAGACCAGCTGGGGATGCAAAGTTCTGTTGGAATTCAGTACAACCTGATTCGTAATCGTTATCGATGTACAGCACGAAGCAGCCTGGCTTTGCCTCCCGAAGGATATCTCGCAGAAAATTACCACTAGACCGGTCTTTCCGGAAGAAAGCAGCCACTGCCGAGAAAGACTTGGACAGAGTCAGAATATCAGCCCGTTTGACAAACTGCAGATCCTGACTGCGAAGCTTCGTATCTCTCACCAAGTCACATTCCCGGTAATTCACGGTGAAGCTCTCCGGTAAGTGATGGTATATCGTATCCCAGGTGTCTTTCCAAGTGGGATACAGATCCAAGACCAGACACTCCAGCGAAGGAGGAAAGATTCTGTTCTCACGGAGGAAGATTGTCACGCCCACCAGGTCGGACCCAGGCCCGCCTCCGATGCTGCACACCTTCAAGTTGCTCTTGTTGCGCCAACTTTTTGCAACCACGTCTGAGTACTGCAGCGAGCCGTTCACAAGATAGCAATGCTGCATCAAGTACACAAACACATAAGCGCAGCGATTCGCGGGATCGTTCCAATCGGAACGGAAGTCTGAACTGGCATATCTGAGTCCTGTTTTGTACAAATTGGAGATGTTTCTCAGCGACTGCTGGACTTTGTCAGTGTTGGATGTCAATCCATCGGGAACCTGATTCACAAGTTCATCCAGGATATCTGATAAGATTTGACGACAAAATTCTGAAACAACGTTGGCGTTGGACACTTGGAGATCCATGATCTGCCCAAAAAGTTATAAATAAGGAAACAGGTAAGTCAAGCAGGAACCACTTGTCTGGTTGATTGCTTTTATGTGCTTACTACTTGGACAGCTTTGCAGACCAGAAGAATGCATTCATTACAAATACTTTTACAAACCGATTATAGGAACGGTAGCTCCCGAAAGCTCAAAAAGAAACCTGATGCAAAAATCAACCTGCTGAAGTTTGAGCTCAATAACAATTACTGTCTTCGAAAGAAACTGACAGTAAAAGTGAAATTCTGCAGCCTTGTGGATTCCAAGGCTGGGGCAGACCTGCTTACTCAAAAGACAACAGTATCATGTCAAGAACCTAATTCGTAAACAGGATACCAGTATACGTTATGCGGACCCATTGAAGGGTAACAGAAATTGAAAACATTTAGTTCCCGTAAAGTATTTCAAAATAACAATAAATACGGCAAAAACGTCGTAAATTTAACGTTTACCCCATTAACTGTGACCCCAAAATGAATAAGAAGATCCTGCATTTCCTCGTTCACAAAAAATCCCCTTTGGCCCTTAGAAGGTAGAAATTAAAAGGCACAGTCCTACCATGTATTTCTTGAACTTAGGCAGTGTTTGCCTGTGGGCCAAGCTACATCAAACACATTGTGGTCTACTGCAGGGGTGCACTACTGCGTGTACTGTGCGCAATGTACATGTACATGTACATGTACGCTGGCATGTACATGTACAATGTGCTTATCAGCGTTCTGGCGATGACGTCATCCAATAAGCCTCGGAGTGCGAACGACCAAAAGGGGATTTTTTTTTGTCGGCGGAGAAACGCAGGATCTTTTTTATTCATTTCGGGGTCACAATTCATGGGGTAAACATTAAGTGTATGATGTTTTTGAAATGGTTACGTATTTATTGTTATTTTGAAATACTTCACGTGAACTAAATGTTTTCAATTTCTGTAACTCTTTACATCCTTAAATATGGGACAAGGTTGCATGTGCTCTTTTTAACCAGTAGGGTAGATAATTATGGTGATGGGTAATTACAGAAATTAGGGGTCCAAAAGTGTGACGTTTGTTTGTCCCTGTTACACTGACTTTTGTTATTTGACATGGAAATATCACCGGAATTGATTTCAAACTATCACTATTTGTGCATTAATTTATCACTCTTGGAAATTAGAAAATGTGTTCTGAACTTACTTGCATATGTCAAATGAGACAGGGACAGGAAAAAAATTACCCCTAAATTCTACAATTACCCTTATAAAAAAAATTAATGCAACACAATTTAAAATATCTGGGATTTTAAGATGAATAAATTAAAGCTGCCAGATGGTTGGTGTATAGTTAACAAGTGTTATTTTTTTTGAACCAAAGTTTCCGTTATAAAGTTTATTAAATCCCCGTTCGTCGAGTCCACATTCAAGTATGTTGATTGTTTTCACGGGTATACAAAGGATAGGGCTGTATAGCAGAATCTCAAAGCTTGTGAACCCATTTTTTTCAATCGACAGTCGTTATATGCTATCATGATTGATTCGGTATCTACTTCCACAGTTTTATCGTTAATATTGACCACAGACTCCATCATGATGCTGTCGCCCTGAATAAAAGGTAGGGATAGCCTATAATGTTCTACGCCATAATTCAAACTGAATTGAAGACCATTTCATTTTAAAAGTAAAATTTACCCATTTATCCATGTAAATACCTGAACCTCATCGGGTTTTATCCTTCTGTTTTCCCCTATATTCTGTAGGCTATTCCGAAAGATTTAACTTCCTTGCAAGTTCGTTTTAAGCGCTGAGTTCAAAAATACTCATTCACAATTTTCAGATTTTAATTCTCATCCTGCACTAGCTGGAAATCATGACTTTATTAAACAGATGACTGGATGGATAAGATATCAACTAAATCAACCTGCATATATGCTTTTGAAGATTTATTCTCCAATGATAAATTTTTCCGTCTAAGAAGGCCAGGAAAAAATCCACCGGTATCGTACAATGCATGTTAATCGTGCCCAGCCATTCGACACATTTCCACTGATGCCTTGCCACCATAGTAACATTAATTTAATGAACACATCCGCTCCATTGCTTAACGCCCATTTTTCCATGACAGGTTAGCTAAAAATGTTTTCCCACTGACGTGCTCAATGCACTGCGGCACAGGCACGCGTCAAAGCACGAATCTATCATTTGTCAGACTCAACTGAATCTTCCGAGTCGAAAACCTACTCATTAAGATTGACTTTAGAAGTACATATAGAATGAATGAGCATTGCCAAATCTTACCTTTTACAAGTTGATCATCTAACGTTAGAAACAACGACGAGCAAGAACTACGACTGAATTTCCGCAAAAACAAATCCAACCCAGTCTTCGTTCATAACTATTTTGCTGCCCCCGACCTTTCCAACCTAGGAATACAAGCTATTTCTGCGACAAAATTGGTACCGATTACATGTAGTTTATGATCATGATGTGCGCACGCAGGCCTCCCGTATGTACAGTTCATGTATCCTGCACACGGAAAGCGAGGTACATGTAACAAGGGCACATAAATATAAGCCAATATCGTCACGTGAACAAGCCAGCCCGCGCTATTCGGCCATTTCTCATTCGGGGAATCCCCTTATTCTGCGAAGTCATGGGCAGAAAGCCATTCACTGAGGGAATGAATTAAATCCGCCCTGCTGCACGCCTCGCAGCATTAAACTCGCCCGGAACCACCCATGTTGGGTTAACCCCAGTAATGTCATTGCAAATAAAGGGAAAAACCGGTTCTTAGAAACTGTCATCACACATTACATGTACATTCATTTGGTGTAGGTCACTTGAGAAATTTCTTTGGTTTGCTGTCCCTGGGAAAATTCCGCCGCAAAAATTGTATAAAACCCGCAAGCGTCTGTCTGTCAGATTCAATTGTGGGGAACACTACTGTTGCGAACATTGAAATACACTGCAAGGGTAATCAGGGATATGGCCTGTTTTAGCCCGCGATATACAACTGGTACAATTGCGCCAGCCGCCATGTTGAATTGTGCCATATGGATGCATGGAAGACGGAAACACACAATCATGTTTAGTGTCTCCGCTGAAAGCGTTACGCCTGTACGTCCCGTGACCCAACAATAGAACATGACGGCAGTCTGAGGTAGTGACAAGACGTAGCATGACGTGCATAATCACAATATGTTTTGTTGACCTCGAGGCTCATAGTGTGGACCTCTGCACAAAAGAAGTCCAAATCATGTAGGGTATGATGGCGTGGGTGCGTCCGCTTGTGTTACTCTCGATATCCAGGAGTGCAGAGAGTAAATGTAACCTTTGTATATTCATTTCATTTCATATAATTTATGTCATTTTGGGGGACACATTTGACATAACAAAATGACATTAAATACACTTAGGCCTATATAAATATAGGATTTCCCGGCCAATTTCGGAAAATGCGCGATCTAGTTAGTAAAATAAAATTTCAATTTAGTGTAGATTTTAAAAAAGACTTAAAACCTGGTTACATTTTCGCAATAACAAGCAACATGAATGTCAACATACTAAACCAGTACAATATCAGGAAACTGACAGAATACACCCTGCTTGAAATAGGATTTTTATTTGTTAAAAAGAAATGGGGATTTGAATGTTCATTCTATTTCGCTCGAAATCGAATGCTGCTATTACTAATTCATTTACACATTTTCCGAAATTGGCCGGAAACCTATATAAACGTTTCAAATAAAACAGACAAAATACAAATGCATTGGGCTTCCGCTGAATTACCGTAAAGAAACAAAGTTTCCGTCCAGGGGCTCTCCTGGTACCGATTAAATTGGAAACACTCAAGACAATGCAAAAAAAATATGTAAGACGTTAGAGAAATAATTGGACAAAGCTAAGAGTAAAACAAATAATTGCACTGTTTATCATAACCTTCTGAACTGTGAATGTATCTTCAAGGCTTTGAAAAAGGTAATTTTACGTAACATAGGAAAAGTTAAATTTGCATAAATTAAAAAGCTTGGCAGATACAGTTTTTGTCAGGGTAGGCCGATGGATTTCTTATTCACTGATGATTTTAAACACTTTTCTAAAAAAAAAAAATTTTCGATTTTGGTTTCATTTTTCAACTGATTTGTAATTTACCACGTTTCACAGATTTTAAATATTGTATAGACAAAAATCTGTAGGCCCTGCAGTACCTTAGAAGAGGTGTATTTAGAGTTACAATTTGGGTTGGCAGGATTTTTTATATTTAACTCAAGCCGCTTCTTTCGATTAAAATCGGCCTTTTCCTGGATTCAGAGTATAAATGGAAGGATTTACGGGAGGATCCAGGAATTTTTCCAGGGGTTTAGGAAATCTTTTGTTGTATCGAGAGAGGGTTAGCACAATATAGGTGAAGCCAAAAGACATCTACATAGTTTTTTGCATTTTGGGGATCTTTAACCTTTTGGACTTAAACATAAATGATAAAAAAGTGATAAGTGTGTTACATTTTAATTGCACATAAGAGGCGTTAATATCATAAGCGTAAAAGTCGTAGGATACATAGTTAAAAGAAGGAGAATTAAAGACAGCAAAACATGAAGCTAATACAGAAAATATCAAATTGAAAAAGCTTCTTGTTAGATCTGTTAAATTAACAACTCAATGTTTAAATGTTGTCGAATACCACAAATAAAACTTTTTACTGAATAACTGCGTTAAATTGAGGCTATCAAAACTCTCATATTCATCAGGCGTTTTCTATATTTATTTTATTAATGTACAGTGCCTCGTGGTGGTAGTTGTATCTATTTTGTAATTTCACATTAAAACGTACATATGAGTGTTACCTTTTCGACATAACAATTGCATCAATAAAAAGAATCCGAACAGCTCGTGCAGCCTAGTGTGTGATTGCTTTCAGTTTAAAGAACTGCATTTTAAATTAAAAAGAAACATTTTGGAACAAACTACGAATAATAGTGAATAATATAGTACATTGAAAGCTAATATATACACAGAAATATATCACTATTTTAATCTTGTGCACTACACAATGACCATGCCCATGCTCGCAATATGTCACAATTTTGACGCAGGCCACTCGAAAATGTTTAAGAACTTCATTCAAGGACGGTGGCGTGAAATACTAAGGACCATAATTTAAAGCACAAGAAAGCCTTGTCTTAGCAGAAACAAAAGTGTCTAAAGTTATTATCAATGTCGGTTTGAAGGATCCAGAAAATGAATTTTTCCAATCACTTTTTGTGTAACTCTATACTCTGTGAGGGCGTTTTTGCCTTGATGTAAATCCAGGAAGACATGGTTCAGGTTGCATGTTTTCATGTTCAAATTGTAAACCGCAAATTTGTTATCTAGGAACATTTCTGTGAAAAGGAATTTTGCTGGATAATTGCCTTAATTGTACTTACATAGCAATAAATTGCCAAAGAAAATGAAATCTACCATAGAAGTGCTTTAAAAAATCTAGATTTTTTTCGTGCACAAATCAGTGCAACATTGAGATACAGTGCCTTGGATGACATCATAGCTCTGCTCATGAATATGAAAATAACATTCGCATAAAAGCATTAAAATATCGGTTAAAATTGCACAACAAAAATTTAAAATAAATCAATTGAAACCCAAAGATGCAATTTCAAGGGTTTTAGTAAAATTTATAAGAAATATTTCCTTTTTCGTGGTTCCTTTAAGTCTACTGCACAGCGAAAATCCATTCCAATTTTGTCTCATATCGAAAAACACGCCTTTCAGCCTCGGCTAAACAAGCGGACGGGTGAGATGTTTGTCGTTACACAAAAATATCACTTGCTTCTCAAAACCAACAGGGGTAAAGTTAGCATGCTGTTAGTTTGTTGACTCTTAATTCCATTCGAAAAATTGTGTTGAGAACAAGAACTGTAATTGTATAACCTAGAAAAAAGACACACTGTGGGAAACTGGCACTAAAAATGTAAATCGATTAGGAAAACATCACTAGAAACCAAATTATATCGAGGACGCAAACTCCTAGGTTTCAACAGAAATTTAGAATGAAATCTGAATTATCTTAAAACCAAGAAACCTAGAAAAAAACGGTGGGAAAGAAATAGGGGACTTGTGGTGGAGAAAGGGAAAAGGAGTCTAACTTACAGGTGAAGTAATGTTTTTAAGGGATACCAGCCCTGTTTAATTTACATAAACCACAAACAATTTAGGATTGTGAAACATAATGAAGCGATAAACGAGTGGGGATCACAGAATAGTGCATCCCGTGCAGCAGGTCTTTGCTTTCGTTTCAACATCCTGAATTATTCCCGAGTTATCTATTGTCCCGTAGTGGCTGCCCCCGGTCATTCGGCTCTGTACACGTTTGGGGTTATGCTGACGAATTGTAGGCCTACCCCTTGAGGGGCCTGCGACAATTGCTGAGGGGGGTACTTGGGCAACAGTTGCCTGCTCAGTAAAGGTCCTGGCTAAATTGCTCTCTGTCGGATTATCTCCGATGGCGGACTGAACCGATCCTTTCTTTCGGAACAGCTGGATAATCACGTTACAGGTTCGCATCGGTCTGAAGTCGAAAAGTTGGCAGTACTTTCTTATGGTATGGGAATATTGGCCCGAAGGGCAAGTAGGTTTGCCGCGGAATTCAAAGACCATGTCCAGACCAGCTCGGGATGCAAAGTTCTGTTGGAATTGTGTGCAACCCACGTAATCATTATCGATGTACAACACGAAGCAGCCTGGCTTTGTGGCCCGAAGAAGGTTTCTCAGAAAATTCCCTTTAGAGCCTGAGCGGTCTTGCCGGAAGAAAGCGGACACTGCCGAGAAAGATTTGGACAGAGTCAGAATATCAGCCTGTTTGACAAACTGCAGATCCTGACCGCGAAGCTTCGTATCTCTCACCAAGTCACATTCACGGTAACTCACGGTGAAGCTCCCCGGTAATTGACGGTATATCGTATCCCAGGTGTCTTTCCAAGTGGGATACAGATCCAAGACCAGACACTCCAGCGAAGGAGGAAAGATTCTGTTCTCACGGAGGAAAATTGTCACGCCCACCAGGTCGGACCCAGGCCCGCCTCCGATGCTGCACACCTTCAAGTTGCTCTTGTTGCGCCAACTTTTTGCAACCACGTCTGAGTACTGCAGCGAGCCGTTCACAAGATAGCAATGCTGCATCAAGTACACAAACACATAAGCGCAGCGGTTTGCGGGATCGTTCCAATCGGAACGGAAGTTTGAATGGGCATATCTGAGTCCATTTTGATACATATTTGTGATACTCCTTAGCGACTGCTTGACATTATCCCAGTTGTTTGTCAATCCGTTAGGAACCTGATTCACAAGTTCATCCAGGACATCCGACAAGATTCGCCGACAATATTCCGCGACAAGGTTGGCGTTGGGCACTTGAAGATCCATGATCTGCCCAAACAAATTACGAATAAGGAAACAGGTAAGTCAAGCAGGAACAGCTTATCTGGATGGTATAGGCAAATGTAATGTGCCTCCAAGATTACTTCCAAAGCATAGTGCAGATAAGACGAAAATCTGCATTACCCTGTCACAAATCGATTCCAAGTTTGGTAGTTCTCCAAATCTAACTAGGAAAACTCAACTGCTGAAGTTCCAGCTCAGTGCATATTAATATTACATTCTTCAAGTGAAGATGCAGTCTTGTTAACGCCAAGGCTAGGGCAGATCCCCTACCAAATTGTTTATGCTTGATATTCGTATTCGTAAATGGGATGGACCGACATTATTGGAGACTATGATCCGGGGCGAGGTTCTTTTTCAAATTAAAATATGACATAATAGCATAACATAGTTTTAGAACCGACATCATGGGGGGGTCTTTTTCCTTTCCATTTCTTCTAGAAGTGTGCAAAAATGCCGAAATGTATAGCGTTCACCCTTCAAGAAAGGTCATACCTCTATAGGAGGTTATACCTGTAAAAACATTACCGTACCAAAAATGCTGCCCCCCTCCCCGAAAAAAGAAGCTTTCCCACCTAAAATTTGGCTCTGGGTTAGTTCTTTGACCTTATAAAACAACTGTGATATCCATCTTGAGCAGAAGCACCCCCTCATCGGTTGAAAGGAACCTTGTTGGTGGGGAGGGAAATTTTTTGTGGCTAGCGTGACAGCTACGCTTGAGTTTTATATTCGTTCGTTAACCACTGATGTGCAAATACCTCCAAAGGAGCCTCCCTTGCTAGGAATATTGCACCTTCTCTTGGTCAGCTGGGGGCTCATAGTCCTAGTTTTGATTTTTTGACTAAATGCAAAATATCAAATTAATTCTTTTGAAGTATTCCCCGAATGCCAAGCCTGCCCTGGGATGGAATCCGCCCCTGATTACTTTCACCAATATCACTTCAACCCATTTTTGTCGAGTCAATTTTTTTTAGTTCCACTGATACCTTGCAATGATTTTGACACTTTTGACATTTTGATTTTGATAATTTTATGAAAATCAGATGTACTGCTCTCTATCCCCCCCCCTAAATTTCCAAAGGCAAGTATGCCAAACATGTTAACTTTTCCCATTTATGAGCTGACACGCTGGGAGTTGGAATTAGACCAACAAAACCGTGTGCCAGCTTACGCACTGACACCCGTCACAGAACTAACACAAGCTGCAGGTTCTCCCTGATGAGTTACATCTTTGCATACGTTTATGCATATTTACTGTGAGAGTTGAGTTGACCACTCACATTCTGTCTGAAGCAGTATTTAATAACCCTGCTTCGCACGAGTCCCACCCGAGTAAGCTTGTGAATTTTTTCGCAAGCTCTCGGACAAGCACTGAGCATACATGTACAGTGTTATCAATATAAACGTTGGGTGAGGGCAAAACCTGTTATATAAATGAACGTCTCCCCAACCCAAAAATACATCTTGAAATAGTTCGCAGTACCCATTGCTACACCTGACTCGGACCAGCAAGCTCGGTGGTCGAGTGGTTAAGACGTCTCCACTAATAAGCAGCAGGATTTCGTGGGTTCGAGTCCCACCCGAGTAAGCTTGTGAATTTTTTCGCAAGCTCTCGGACAAGCACTGAGAATACAGTGTTTATCAGTATATACGTTACGTTAGGGCAAAACCCGTTATATAAATTATCTGCTTCACACTGAATGGGAGTGGTCAACTCAACTCTAACCTTTTCATAAGTTCATCAAGTAGCATTAAAACATCCATGCAATGAATTTTTTTTGTGCTACACACTTTTTATGCATCTTCTTCAGTGTCTGAAAACTGCTTAAAACATTCCGGAATTTTTTTTCACTCGCTGAAATTTTTCCAGATAAGTGATGGCAATGTAGCTGTGATGTAGGGAACGCACTCTGCAGTTGACATGTAGGCCTACTCTTGTTTAAATTTGTGAACCCCAAATTTACTTTTTGCGCTGACTTATCGCAATATATAAAAACAATAAATTTACTATAGCAAAATATAAAAACTTCCAGCAGATTTTGTGCACAATCAACTTGATGCAACATTGAGGCTTAGTGCCTGGGATGACAGTGTACAGTTTTGCTTATAGATGTGCAAACTGCATTAGCATAAACCAAGACAGGTTCCAAAATGGAATTTAAAAAGCCAAAGATTTAAGATAAATGGGGGTAATTAGAGACAGGGTTAATTAAAACTCATAAACTTAACAAGAGTTTCGGAGGCACAACTCCTATTTTATTACGAGAACAAATTCAGCACTCGCTACTGTGGCGGTTCGTGAAAACCCCAGATTCTTCGAAGTCGGTCGCATACAAAAGCTACTCACCGAGGGAATAAATTTCAACCTCATAACCAAAGATTTATAACTGGTGCCATGCCTCAACAAACCCAGGCAAATTGTTTTAGTACCAGCGACTAATCTGTAATAAACATGAGGCTTAATCGGTTTGTAGCTACGGTTTGTACAAATTCATGCTTCCCACACATAAAATTACACGCACTTGCCTTTGCGACAGAATGTGATATATGACTCTGGCCTATTTTGCGTCATTTGGTCGATACGATAACAATGAAAATGAGAAATGGTTTACCTCAAAAACAGTCAAATCGTACTGAAAACATGTAAGTCCGTCTTACTATCGATTCATTGCAAACAATGGCGATGACATTGGCGGCGACAGTAACACGCTGCAAAGGGTCTGGTAATCGGGATATTTAATGCTCATGTTAAGCCATTAATGTAGCTGGTACTACCGCGGCAGCCGCCATGTCAGTGTCTAAGTCCAAAGGTCAAGTTGAGGCTGGGGGAAATCATGTTTAGCGTCCATGTTGGCCAAGTCCTTTGGGGAACTTCGTGGATTTATTACTTAGTTTTGCCATAGGAATAACTGTGAAAAAGCAAATGTCTTCTCATCATCTAAAAATAAAATACTTACGGTGAAATTCATGCCTCAAGGCCGGCTCGTGCTTGGCGCGAAAGCGAATTTGTCAATTTGTGACTTACCAGATATTCGCTATTGGAAGTCTCAAATGTTGTACGTCAACTCGCTTTGCTTTCGTGTTTGAACATCGATGTGAAGATAGTTCCTCGTCCCTCGTTTGACGCTCGACAATCAACGTTGAATTCGAACGTTGAAAGAGCATTTGACACTCGGGAAGCACATCCCTAAAAGGGATGGAGTGCAAAAGGGACCAAAAAAGATAAGAAAAAATAAAACACTCCGCCACCATGCACATCCATTCATATGTACCAAATTTACATTGTACGTGCCATTTCACACATGCCATTTCACAATGATGTACATGTACATGTGTATACAAACAAGTCTCTCCCATAGAGGGAACCTAGGGTATGGGGGTCCTTCAGGGTCAACAAGCCCTGAAATGTAGGCAATGGTTTTTTATGGCAGTAAAATTATTAGAGGGAAAACGATTATATATATATATTTATATATATATGTTGTTTCAGCAAAACTTTTCCAGTCAATCGATATAAATTATACATTAATCCAACGCTCCGGCTCAAAACTTCTTTTTTTCCCATGAAAGTGCTTCTGTACACTTTAGCTACCCCGTTGACTCCATTTCAACCAGGGCAAAGCAGTTTTCCACAGTTCAAATGATGTTGACGAAAGTCTTGTCTTGTCGGTGGAGTTCTTCCCTTTCAAACCGGAGTGAAAAAGCGAATGCATCGCACCACACTTTTCTCAAATCGAAATCAAATTCCCACGCCCGTGCCCCGCTTGGAGATTACATTGAATCTGATGTCATTCTTCTCCTCGATCATCGTCGATTCCTTGGAACCCGGGGCATAGGGGTCAAACAAGTCCTGAAATCTAGTTGGCACAGACTGTTTTTTGGGGTGTTTTTTTTCACTTTTACACGCCATCGCTTTTAGGGATGTGCATCCTGAATGTCCAGCGGTTACTTGTTCAACATCGTATGTTGAACGTCAAACGAGGAATAAGTCACTAACTTCAAACCTCCTGTTTGACCCAGCCTTTCGACTGTGCTGATTTTTTGTCCACGACTGTGATCTCCAAACATGTTCTTCTACTGTCCAACTACTATACAAGTATAGCCTACTTCAGCTTCAAACGAGTCCTTGAAAGCTACTAAAACTGTTCTCGGATTCCAATTCTCTTCAAGTTGTCCAACTTTTCTCTGTCCTTTTCGTATTTTTCAACAGTGGAAACCTATGGTTTTTTGGTTGTAGCTGCCATGAATTGAAGAAGACTACCTCCTATACGTACCGTACCCGGACACTGAATATATTTATTTTCATATTTGGCCTGAAGGTTCTGTTAAAGTCGTTATGACATGTTTCGTGTCATCTGAACCACAGGCAGTCGTGACGTAATTATGTTCCACAGGCCTGTTAGCAAAGCGTTCCACACGGATACACAACAATCCGCCACTGGTGCCGTGAACCGTTTTTGTGGAAGTGCCGCGAAATATGAACGCATTGGAAAGAAGAATTATTTATGAGGCTGGCACGAAGTGGAAAAGTGGAAAATTTAGTCCATCATCAAATGAAATTCCATTACACGAAAATTGCGAAACATAACGATATTTCTTTTATATAAATCCAGCTCCGGCTAATGAGCTACGTGCACGTCATTCACTAGCCAATGTAATGAATATGCAGTAGGGCCTAGTACGTACATAATTTCAAAGTCCTACATTTGCAGATGTCCTTTAAGTAGCTGACAAAATTATTGTTAAAGGCATACTTGATTTATAGATAGTTGTCTGGGACTAAGTGGAATTAAGATTGGGATAAAAAAAAGTTCAGGTGAAGCCATTCCTTGCTGGATTAATGTGTAAAGTGACGCAGTTGGACTTTTCACAACAGTGCGCCTCCAAGAGTTTGTAACGCGTTGACCAATCACAATGCGCGAAATATGTCGACCCCCACGCGCATCGGGAAGGATAGACAGATTTCGCGCACTGTGATTGGTCAACGCGTTGCAAACTCTTGGAGGCGCACTGTTGTAAATCGCCAATATTATTCCCGTCTCGTTCTATCTTTCCGATACAAAGCTTGGGTTTGTAGCTCTATGCTGTGTTCACTCAACTTCAAGGAGGCAGGCTCTCTTGGCGCACTGCGTTAAATAGTCTCCTAGCTCCTACCGTTACAGACACATATCTGCCGAGGAGCGAAAGTATCCGTCCACAACTTTTACCTTACATAATAGTCCGTTCAAGTACGTCAGGGAGCTTCAGCGTCTAAATGGCAACTTGCCCCCAACCCCAGGTGTTTTTGTTTGTTTGTTTTTTGGTTGTGGACATGATCTATTAAAATACTTCAGAGGAAAGAAAGTAATCTATATTATTATTATCAAACATTAGCACCAGAACCCTAAGAAAACAGCACTATAAATTAAAAGCTAAGGATGTCGGGATGGCGAGTAAGGCTTTTGATATTTTTTTCACCACTACTATCATGTTGAATGAGCCCAAAGCCGCGTTCCCTTAATTGAATTTGTAGAAAATTATTTTATTTTTTCACTGCAATTTTTCAAACGTCTCCTCCTTTCCAGGAATGGATCAGATCCAAGCTTCATCGCCAATTCTTACCTGACTTTTTGTTCTATTGTTCAGTGTCATTCTTTTGTTTATTTGTTATTTTAGCCAAAAGAACTTAGCCAAAAGAATTCTATGACTTAAATATATAGTCTTTCCATGACGGTAGGACATTTACAGTCCGAAGGATTCTGCAACCACAGTGAAGCGGATAAACCTTTCATATCGAAGCCAATGTTTGAGAAACGCTGTCTCGAAAAACAAAATGGCGCTCCCAGACGTCGGTACAAAAACGTCGCTACATTTGTGCTTGTACATAATGTAAGCCCTTGCATCCAATTTGTGGACCGTCAGTTGCTGTAGTCTATGGAAATGTTCATAATTTCGATGACTCTTTACTTATTCCACAACAAAGATTTTCGAGAATCTATGTGAATGGTATGACCTTGGGCCTGGATCTTTCTGTTTTGAAAATGTTCAATTGGTTGGCTGTATGCGTAAGGAATAGTAGGATCGACCCTATCCATCTGACGATGATAGTCGTCCATTGGGGTAGGATGTTACTTGTATTTCCGACACCGAAAGAACATAAAAAATGTGTAGCGTGGGCGGCCGCGGGGGAACTGACTCATTTAGGGGCTTGTATCGTGTATGGCATGTATGGAAAATGGCCAGTCACAAGAACTGTTTACATGTCATGCCTGTAGGCCTAGGCCGATATCCTATAGTTTTAGCCCCATGAAGTTTTACTGAGTCTAATTAAGCTACAAACAAACATAACAAACAAACAAACTTGGAAAGAGTTTCACCTACTTGACACCTTGTGCACAAACCCTATGGAATTGGTCTTAAAATTGTGTTTTCTAAGTAAGCGACTTGTTTTTTCCCCTCCTAAATTGAACTTTCTGGACATGTTTTTGCTTTCTGACATGTCTGTTAACCTGAGGTTAATTCAGAAGGCAGTGGGTATTTCATGCATTTGAGCTCTAGAGGTTTTCTTTGAAATCGATCTTAAAGCTCTTTACACTGAAGTGTTAACCTGTAGCCCACTCCAATTTCTTTTTCTGCATGTAAGTCTTGTACGGTATGTCCTGGCTACACTTCCAGTCAGACACCTTTTGGAATGCTCGCTTGCTTGAATGCTTTCAACTTTTGTTTGTGTTCCTTCTGCCCAGGTTGTCACTGCCGAATACATATAGATTTGTGTGTCACTGGTGAAAAAAATGTGCCAACGTTATAAGCCAAAGAAAAGCAGACTGTGTTAGATTTTGTGGCAACCTTCGTCTGGGTTGCCTGGAAAACAGCAAGCATCTTTTATCGCTGGATGAACGTCTCTGCCTCGAGATGTCGGAGTCGGGATCCAGTCGTAAAAAATCCAAGACCATGACCACGTCAGTGTCGCAGAGTGAGAACTTAGGCGGTGAGTACAAGGACTTGGAGATGAGCTGCGATGGAAAATTGGGTTGGATATGTTTTTTGAAGGGAATAGAGAGAGTTGAAAATATTTCACATTTGTCAGAACAGTTGTCGAAATTATCACTTTGGTGCCTATGGTAGTACAGTTTGAAATTTTCTGTTGTTTTGTCGAAAAAATTGGAAATTTCATACAAATCAAAAGTTCTGTTTATTTAGCCTTAAAAACAAATAAATTTCACTGGTCTTTGCTCTTGATACACCACTATCATGTGACAAGTTTCTTATTAGGCTTCTTGATTTGAAGTCATTCATGTTTTCTTGTTGGGTAAGGTTCCACGCTTAGCCTGGCCACGAGCACCTCCTCGGACACCTTGTCTCTGCCGTGGATCAGAGTCAATGAGCCAGGCTTGGAGCGGGACCCCAGCACCACCTCCACCATCATGCTGGACACCAACGTCAAGCCAGGCCAGTATGTACTGCAGAGCCTGTTTGCCGAGTTCACCATTCAGGCTGAGAGGAAGATAGAGAAGATCATGTCAGAACCACTTGTAAGATGTGAACTTCGTTTTTTTTTTTTTAATGAAATGTTTGTGAGCGTTACTACTTTGTTCTTGCAAGCAAGGAAATGCACTAGCTAGACCCTGAATTTTGGAAAGTTATCTTGCCCTATCCAAACGATACTAGTTCAACACACATAATTTACTCTTAGGTTTGGGGACTTGCTTAACATTTTTGTTCATTCAGGCATGTACGTTTTCCTCGGATCAGCTGATTTCCTAACTTTCACTTCACACTCATGCCCTTGAAAACACGGTACAAATTCTCGTAAAGAATGGAATTTTTTTTGTTAAAGTCCAAGTTGCATGCCTGTTTCATTGCATTATATCCAACCTTTGTTAGCTTAAACTGGTGTGTTCTGTATCATAACCAACGTGTTTAGAGTGCAAGAACTTTGCATGAGTTTTAATATTGTGTGGTTTAAATGTGCAGCGCTTTTTGATTGTAGCACCCATGTAAGCAGTTCAAAGTCTTCCTCACGCTTGGGCTAGTAGTTTGGAAAATCAGATGACACAGAATTTTTGAGACAGATCCACAGGAATTCAGATGAACACAACCATTATAGAGAACCGAAGTGAATACGTCACGCGCACAATTAGTGTGTAAAAGGCATTAGTGCGTGAACCAACACGGGCGGGTACTCCATTCGTTTGCACTGCCCTTTCTGGTTCACAGTGACGTCACACCTCGGTACTCTATAAAAGAGATGCAAACCTGCCCTGAGTTACAGCACATATTCATCCTTTGTTCTTATCATCATGTTCATCCAGCGTTCAAATGTAACGCTGGTCCAGTGGCCAAATCCCAGTCAAAATATCCGGGGACCAGTCAAACCCTTGTTGAATTGATCCTGCGTACCAGTCAAAACAGTTGCCGAAGTCTGCCCGTTACCTATTCTAATGCAGCTTAAGACGCCACCACTATGAGAGTGTTTGGTTTACTTTGTATTGCATTGTATTTTGTGACGTAACATCAACCTAATGCTACACACTGTGTGATATAAATCGCACATTGTGCACAATGCGAAATGCACAGGGCTTTCCAATCTCCATGCTGCTTTGTATATGTGCTTGAAATTATTTTAAAAATACTAAATCCAGTCTGTGATGAGCTGACTTGATTGGTTTCCACACAAGTCGTGCTCACTTTAGATGGCCAAAGATCTAAGGGAACCAGCTACGGGCATGCACTTTGTTTGAAAGGCGTGGTGCAGCAGCATGGACATGACGGACTTAAAACACGCAGACATCATTTAGTATCTAACAGTGAGACATTGCATAAAGTTTTGACTTCCAAATGTATCAGATTGAAGTTGAAAGTAGTGCAAATGTGAAATTAATCTATGTAAATGTAAATTAAGTTCCACTAACACTGGTGATGGATGTTTTGTTTTGGACTAATGTTACTTATGCCGTACGGAAGATCAGTGTAAAGCCCAGTGCATCGTGTACCGCCGTCCGTTTGCCTGTAAGCCTACAGAAATGTTCTCAATCTTGCTAGCCATATAAAGGCCAAATTCTGTCATTGGTACAGTTTAGATCATCAGAAAAAGGGGCAAAATACTCAAGTTTTTAGCTATTCATTTTCATTACACTCAGCCGTTTTCAGATCCTGTGCGCTGGTAGTTACCCATATTATCAGGTACTTTATGCCTACTTTACCCACTTTCAAAATTTTTCGGCCCGAGACTAAGAGCCTAAAATGATTTGCAAGACCATTTGGAGACTTTGTTTCATTGTATTCCTTTATGTGGATACTCAGTGATTTCTGCAATTAAAATGGAAAATAAACCCTACCACACAAAATTATGCAGTTGTTGTGCAAACAAAATATGGCATGGCAGTTTTTTGCTTTGCAAATATTTTTCTGGAAATTGAACACACGAGACTGAGCACAAATGTCCCTACCTGCCCTGTCCGCACAAAACTTAAACAGAAGCTTTCCATTATGCAGTGTCTAAATCTTTTTGCATTTTAAAATTGAAGGATCAAAAAAATATTTTGTCTAAATGGTTTTTAATATTGAGGGATCCAAAAAGTTAGAGGGCTGGATGTTTCAATCTTCGCAGAATCTTTCTGATTTTGCCTTAGAGAAATATTCTGCCCAAATCAAAACCATTCTGGAAATTGAGGGAAATGGTGAGAGAAGTTGGATGAAAATCGTTAAATATCTTGGGATAAAATGCAGCAATAAAAGTATGACTCAACTCATGTATTCAGCCTTCAACTTGGAGTGGAATTTCTGTTACATGTAGAGATTTATTTTTCTAATAGAGGATCAGTCAAAACCTTGGTGGGCCTGTCAAGATTTGGCTCTGCTGGTCCAGTTGGCCTTTAGTAAACAAAGTTATGGCGAAACTTCGTTCAGTGTGCTGCCTAATGTGGTTTTTACCAGGATGAAATTTTGTTGGAAGATTGACTTTTTTAATTCACTGCCCCCCCTTCTTTTTATGAACAGGACAGCCCCTTGGCCAAATCCCTACAGCGTGGAGAGGACCCACAGTTTGATCAGGTAAACACATCTTGAGGCATACAAAAGTGCCCATGAAGATACAAGCAAAATGCTTGGCAGTGAAAACCATTAAGCCATTTCGTATTGCACCCATAAAGTTCTATTCTTGTGAAAAAAGCAAAACAAAAAAACTAGGCATCATGCGCACTTGAAATGTCTTTCAGCATTCATCAAAAAAAGGCAACTGCCCATTCTGACCGTAGGTAGTATTTGAAAAGGGGGTGTCCACATTTGCCGTGAAGTGAACAAGAGGATGCCCAAGATGCTGAAGTTCTTTTGCTCCAACATGCATTTGTGCAACCAAGGTTGCCTAAATTTCACCTGGCCGACACTGTGCTGCTCAGAACTTGTGGGCTCTCATTCTTCGTTCTTTTTTTTAAAAGCTCACAACCTTGCAATTCTTTTCCTCAGCTCCTGAGTTCCCTAAGTGCAGTCTCGGAGCATTGTCTTCCGTCTCTTCTCAAAACCCTCTTTGATTGGTACGAGCTTCAGAATGAGGATGAAGGATCCAGAAGACAAAAGGGTGGATCAGGGAAATCTAAGGGGTAGGCAGAAGTGTGTTTTCATTACTAATTTAGGTTATATGTGTCCGAGTCAAAAGTTGCTTTTTTGCCTTTATAAAACATCTTACATCCCCAATGTTGACACAATGTATTTATTTCTGTTTTTTCTTCAGGGAAAAGGACTACGTGTCAGAAAGAAGAGATGTGAGTACCAAAAAACACATGGTTCAGTATTTTACAACTTTGTTTTTTGTCTTATTATAAGCGTTTGTCTCGAAAATGTTTGCAGTGTTGTGGGGAGAGGAGAGTTGTTTGTCCCACAGTTTGCTTTAGCAGGTTGCCATGGCAATGTGATGAACCTCGGCCTTTTGTCAGTCCATATACACTGTTTGCGACTTCAAGAATATGCAGCATGACGGACAGAGATATCATGCCCCATGTAGGCTGGTTTCTTCTCTCCAAACTATTCATGGGTTTGAATAGAGGGTATAGACCAATTCAGCAACCTGAGTGTAGTGCCATCGCAGTAAAGGTATCTCCTCAGTTTGGTCTGTTAGGAGTCAAAATTTGAAGGTCAGTTTTTCACCGATACAAAATGCAAAACCTCGCACATGAGAAGGACTCCCACCCTGACCTCTGGGTGCAGCACTATCATTGCTGTTAAAAAAAGGACAAGCACCAAACTATATTGTCGACCTGCTCTAGACATACTAGCCAAGAGGAAAATTTTTGCAATCATCTCAAGGCCTCCTTACCACTGCAACATCCTGAACCGAGTCGTACGGCTTCAGGCCATTTTCACATATCTCTCGGAGGTGGTAGAATGCCCTTCCAACTTCCTATTGAACAATTGTCACTGTTGACCAGTTCACCCACTCACCCCATCCTATCTTTAAGTTTAAACACTTGTAATAATTTTCGGCATTGGGTTATTTCCCTTTTCCTTATAGTGATGCTATTTGAGATTCCTTTCAGTTATGCTAAGTGCTACATAAGATTGAGTAGTATCCACATTCTTTGTTGCATGTTCAGCTGGCGGTGGACTTCCTCTACTGTCTAGTGTTGATTGAGGTATTGAAGCAGTTACCTCTACATCCTGTCCCGGAGAAGCAACTCAATCACATTGAGACCCTGGCCTTCAAGCACTTCAAACACAGAGACAGGTACGTTGTACGCGGCGCCAGCAACTAAAGCAGACACTTCTGTTCCTTCCTCAAGACTGGTCTTTTGTTTCCAATTCTTGTCTGGCAGAAGTCGTGAAAAGCCGCATGAGAAAAATTGGTCACTGAAATTTGTGACCTGATTCAAAGGGAATGAAGCGGTTAGTTGATTGTTGGAAACAATTTGAAAGTTTTTCATTGGTTAAGTAGATGTAGGTATCAGTTCTGCTTCTTTTGCAAAATTGTCCTGATTTTTTAATACTAATATGTAACATCTTATCTATTTTGGCTGATAGAAAGTTTATTTCCTGAAAAAATGTAAAAATCTTTTATATCCATGAAAATGGAGAACTTAAAAACAAATTTAACGCTCCCCTTTTTAATTTTAGCCTATTGTCAAAAAGCTTAGAAGCACACATGGCTTAGGTCACATTTGAGGTTTGAGTGTTTATTTCTTTTCATGTCAGCCTTCAGTCAGGCCCCAACACAGAGAACTTCCACATCATCGCTGACCTGTACGCAGAGGTCCTGGGTGTGCTGGCCCAGACCAGGTTCATGTCAGTCCGTAAGCGCTTCCTGATTGAGCTGAAAGAGCTTCGCTCAGAACCGCAGAATGTCCAGACGGCACAGGTGCGCATCTTTATTGTAACGAAGCATCTCAGAGAAAGCTCTCACAAGATGCTGTCTTTCTGGAAAAACTACAACTGCATATTCAAGCCATCAGGCATGTGTGTACATGCAGTGTGCTGTAAAGTGTTCTATACATGCACCTGTGTTGATCCAAGTAGCCGCGAAATATGGTACAGTCCATGCACATCACGAAAAATTGATGCCCAAAATGCTGATGGTGTGTGGCAATCTGTAGGAAGTGACGTTATTTGAGAGAGACCTTTGTAACCCAGGATCTTATCCATATCTCTGAGGGCTACACTGAAATCTCTGCTGTGCATAAACTCAAACGCTAATACCTTTACTTGAACTTTCAAGTAGGGTCAAATGTCATAGTTGTTTAAAATGCATGTAGGTAGGTTCTTCCCTCCTTACTCTTGCTTTCTCACTGACAATCTCAGGGTTTTTTCTGAGGATTTTGGTGGCCAAGCATTAAGTATATAATAATTCTTAAGGCCATTTGTAAGCATCTGCAATTTGTGTATGGTAAGCATACTTTCGTGTCAGTATTGGCCTTTGACTTGCGTGACCTGTCTTTAAACCAGGCAATCATCAGCCTCATCATGGGGATGAAGTTCTACCGTGTCAAGATGTTCCCTGTGGAGGACTTTGAGGCCTCCTTCCAGTTGCTCCACGAGTGTGCCAACTACTACCTGGAGGTTAAAGATAAAGACATCAAGCACGCCCTGGCAGGCCTGCTGGTGGAAATACTGGTACCCGTCGCATCGGTAAGCTGCACCCCTCATGCTATTAGAGAACGTAAGAATGCTGTGCTCCAAATGGCAAGCATTTATGGGAGTCCTAAGTCTTCTATTGTATTCCTCTCTGTGGAAATTTGGAAGGTGCCATTGGCCACCAAAGGAAGCCAGTTTTGCTCCACCTTTTGTTGCTATGGTTACAGTACTTTCATTGCCATAGATTGTGTTGCTTGTCGCCGGAGCAAGCTTTTAGTGGCCAAAACTAAAGTGCAAATAGTGAAAACTACAGTAAAATCTCGATAAGTCGAAGCCCGTTAATTCGAAACTCCATTTACCTTGACGTCTTTCTGTATTCCCGACAAAAAATACGCCTTTATGTACAATAAACAATCTGTAACTCGAAATGTCAATACCACTAAAGCCGCGTATCTTGAAGTTTTGGTAGGCCAATTAAAAAAAAAAACTGTAGAATGATGAATAAAAAGTGATGAAAGAACGCTTGCCTTCATTATGAGTAATTACTGTCACATGCACGGCTTTTCTTTGATGAGCCGAGCATGTTCATACTGGCTGCCATTGTCACGTCGACAAGCACCGAGTGGGCATCAACCCCAACCGTAAAATAAATCAGGCACGAATGATGTGCCCTCAAGCACTTTGTACATGTATCACGTGACCCAGCACGGAAACCCTGACCGTACCGACTGGCCCGCGCGCTGCGTTATGCGGTAGCCCAATCAAGCAAAACAAATGAATGAATTCTCAAGACGTAGACACAGGTACCGGTACATAACTTCATTGGTTTATTGCTTATTAACCCTAACCCTCCTCAATCCTTCAATTGTTGGAGGACTGAGGAGTGTTAGGGTTAATGTACCACATAAAAACATGTTTAATGATGATGTTTGAGGAAAACTTGCACAGTAGGGATAACCTAAAATCCACTTCGTGTTCGACTTGCTTGCAGGCCAACTGCCATAAGCCAGTAAGGTTGCATGTGCACTGAAGCGTGTAACTTTCGATAACTTGAACGTTTCGTCCATTCCCCTGAGCTTTAACTTATCAAGATTTTACTGTATGTAGCATGCCCTCAGCCAGTGGTGGCAGTCTGTGTGTAAGGTTGTGATAAAAGTTATCAAACTGACAGTCGTCCAATGCTAAACTCTGGTTGTCCGGTTTGTGATGTTGGCCTAGAAGCTTTCACCTGAGGAAAACGTACCTTCTCTTAGCATGCAACTTTTCCTCCGTTCACCAGCTGTCCCTTTTTTATACTTCCCAGTAAGCCATTGCAAATTAAAAAACACCGTACAGTCTTTGTGAAGGGGATTTCCTCTCTTCTTTTTGGTGCTTGAATGCTCTGGTCACTTTCATGATACCTACAACTGCAACTGCCTTTCAGTGCGTCATGAACGAGGTCAACATTCCCGTCCTCAAGAACTTTGTGGACAAACTGTACCAGACCACGTTGGACCAGTGCAACAAGAAGAAGCATGCCCTGGCTGCCTTTCCTCTCCTGACCTGCTTGCTGTGCGTCAGCCAGAAACAGTTTTTCCTCTCCAACTGGTGCAATATGCTCAACCTCTGTCTCTCGCCGCTCAACAAGGTGAGTTGGTTCAGTTGATGCGTTGTTGATGATTTTGTGGAAGCTGAAAGGAGTGCAGAGGCATAGTGGATAAGTTTGTGATGGTGTGCTGGAAGTTGGTATTAGTGGAATAGCTGAGTGGGCATATTGGTAGTGATATTGTTGTAACTGAAAATGTTTGATGAACTTTATTTGAGATGCGTTGGTGTTGATATGTGCAGGCATGTAACGTTTCCTTGGATCAGCTGATTTCCTCCTAGTTTTATCAAAGTCCAAGTTGCATGCCTGTGTATGGTATGTTGATATACATGTAAGTGGATAAGCTGAGTGGATACATTTGTTGTGGTGTTGTGGTAAGTGTAGTTGAAAATGTTTGATGAGCTTAGTGGATGTGTTGATGGTGATATGCTGAAAGTTGATATTAGTGGATTAGCCCAGTGGATGTACATGTATTTGCCATGGTGGTGTGAAACCTGAAGGAAATACATAAGATTTTATTGAAAGTATTTTGGTAATGGTGCATTGGAAATTGTTGTAAGAGAATCTACTAGATGGATTTTCTACAATTGCCAAATTGGAAACTTAGGTTTGCTGATAAGCTGAATAAATACCTTATAGTATTGTGGGAGTTGGTTATTTGTGTTTATGTGATATAATATGTAAACTTTGAATAATATGTACATGTACCAGTATGATGGTAAATCCAGGGTAATATGGGCAAGATTTCAATTTGAAATTTTTTACACCAACTTCTTGTGCTTGACGGTACTCATCTTGAGTTACTGCTGTCTTTAAATTCTGTTTGTCGGCAACAGCACCGGGACCCTAAGATGTCTCGCGTGGCCCTGGAGTCTCTCTACCGTCTCCTCTGGGTCTACGTTATCCGCATCAAGTGCGAGAGCAACACCACCACCCAGATCCGCCTCCAGAGCATCGTCAACTGTCTCTTCCCCAAGGGCTCACGCAACGTGGTCCCCCGCGACACCCCGCTCAACATCTTCGTCAAGATCCTCCAGTTTATCGCCCAGGAGAAGCTGGAGTTTGCCATGCGGGATGTGATCTTTGACCTGCTGGGGGTCAACAGTAAACAGCGGGTCCTGTGCCCAGAGGTGAGGGCGCTGTCCGAAATGTGACCGGCGGTGCAAAAGGGTGTATTATGTCTCGTTTTTTTGAATTTGAGTTATACAATCAATCAAACTGCTGACATCCTGAGCTTTAATTTGAAGTATTTATCCCAGTGGCATTTTGCATTTGGGAGTTATTTGCCCTTTGTATATCCATATAATTTCATTTTATCACACATGGGTTTTGAGATAACGCCCTTGAAACTTAACGAACAGAAATATTAAAGTTAAATTAGACACTGTCTTGGTTTTCCTTAGCAACAGAGACGTTCTGGTCAAGCAATTGACCTCAAAATATTTCCAAATATTTTCACCCTCAGCACTTGGAATGGGCCATTACGCGTTTTTACATTGCACGAATTAATACACCTTTTTGCAGAGCAGGTCACAAATGGCTAGAGCTAGGTCAAGGTTTTGTGACCAGTTGCAAATATATGGTGGACAGTAGACATAGCCCTAGCTCTGGAAACCTGTTGGGATGCTTCCAGGGATTATTTAGGTTAGTGTACCAGTCTGAAGTCCTCTGATAACACATCACAGCATAACTTGTGGTTTGTCGTGCTTACTGTGAAAATACACATGTGTCTGTGCCAGTCTCATATGCCACACTGATGCCTCTCATGTTGCGTTAATAACAAACAGTCTTTCTAGACTTGACAAATATGCTGAATTGGAAAAAACCAATGCAGCTCATTGGAACAAACAGACGTAGTAAAGAGCTGCGTCAAAGAAGACAGGTACCGTGAAGAAAGCAGGTATTGAACTCATACACTTGAAGTTTCTCTTCCAAATGGCATCTGGCTCAACAAAAACAGCCACAAGTTGCCTGAACTACCTTTAAGATACAAGCCTTAAAGCAAACCTTGCCTGATGGAAAATAGAAAAGACTGTCATTTCTCACTCCTACGGTATTTGCATTTAGTATGAAACCAACTGGATTTATTGGTCTCATGCTACAAGTGATTTGAAAGAGATTAAACTCTACTCATCCTGTCAGATCCAGTGACGAATCCATGTCCACAACTCTAACAAATTGACAAACATATAGTTGGCAATAACCAAGCACCGATGTGTGCTTTTTCCATGCAGCGAATGAATATTGGTCTGCGGGCCTTTCTAGTCATTGCCGACGACCTCCAACAGAAGGACGGTGTGCCGCCAATGCCGACCACAACCCGCATCATGCCTTCCGGGAACACCCTGCGAGTCCGCAAGACGTTTCTGAACAAACAGCTGACGGAGGACGCAGCCAAGAGCATTGGCGTTCTCCCGTACTATCCCAGCATCCGCAAAGCAGTGGATGCCATCATAAGGACACTGGACGCAGCGGTCGGACGAGCTCTACTGATGACCAACGCCCAGTGTTTGAACAAAGAACTAGATGATCTTATGACGTAAGAATCCGTATTAACCCCTTGATGCCGGGAATTTCTTCCCGAAAGCCGACTCTAAGAATTCCACCCTCGCTTGGCCACGAAGGCCACCTGCCAAACCGCAAATTCTCAGTTTGTGACCCTGCGTGCTCTGCATGCTTTGAATTACATTGTGAAAAGGCTGATTGTCCGGTGGCATGTGGCTCTACTCAGCCTTCCACATTCCCGTTGCCTCTTTTCAAAGTGGGGACCATTGTGAAGCTGGTGATTATGATGCAAAATCGGTCTTTTCATTTCTGGGCTACACACGAAGGCCAGTCACCATATATACAAGAGCCAGGGTCTGCCTTCTTTCACCGTGTTCGCTTAAGCGTGGGCTGAAAATAACAGCTGAAAAGCGGGCTGAGGATCTCAATTTTTACGGCGGCTATAGCTGCCTCCCGGCGCGAAGGGGTTAAGATCAACAAATCTTGTCCATGTGCGTGCGTTGGTCTTGAATGCTTTCGTGTTAACAACTGTAGAGTATATACAGTAGTACCACTTGACTTCAGGCTTAATGTCCAGAATATAGCCTCTTCACATTTTGGTATCTGCTCCAAGCGGAACAAAAGAGGGTGTGTTTTTTTTTGGCACTCACCGCATAGGCGCGCCACAGGCGTGCAAGTACATGTATATGCGCGCTTGACACAGGGCACGCTGAGTACATGTAACTAATTTACTCTGGCTTGTATGGTCTTTGCGTAAACACAGAATGCGTGCAAGAACCTGCTTGTAACCACCTGCCTTTCTTTTGCTAATTGATGGTGCACTTCAGCTTGGGGCGGATAACATTTTTATCCAGTCTGTCTCCACCTTTAAAAGTTTGCTGGGTTGATACCTACACGTACTGCTGCATTGGATTCATGCCAGCTTTGAGGTCATGAGTTCAAATCCCATTCGAGCAAGCTCGTGATCATTTCATAACTCTTGGACCACACTGAGAATGCAATGTGAATATATGCCAGGACAAAGCCTGGTGCAGAATTTAAAATGCTGAGGTTAACGCTGCATGTAAGTCTGGCCTTGAGATATGTGTTTGAGTCATATCTGGGCTACCTCCAATTTTGGATTCAGCTACGCTCAAGGTTCACTTGTACTGTTAATGCAGTGGTGTAAGACCCAGAGTTGTACCTCAACCGCCCACACTGACTGAAGTCCGTATCACTAAACCAAGGCATGGTTTATGCCTCTGCCAAGTACGTAGGATTCCTTTGCAGAGTTTTGTCATTTTATGGAAGAAGCAGAATGGACTTGAATAATGCTCCATATGAGAAGTTTTCAAGTGTTAGCACGTGAAATACTCTTGAGGCTAGGTGAATTTTCAACAGTGTTTCTGCTTACCAATAAGAAATTGGACCCTTCTGAGCTAAAACCTGTTTTCAAATTTGGGTTGAAAGAAAGGCCAGTGTTTTAAGTGCTCCCCTTTTATCACTGTAGGCCTGGGTTCGATTTGTGACCTGGGCCATCTGTTAGTAAAGATGTTAGTTTTCTCTTTTACCACAAGGGTTTTATAGATTCCCTATGGTTTTTTTTCCTCCACAAAAAATCAACACTTGGGATCTCTGGCTGTGCTCCATGGGGAAATGTCCGTCAGTTGAGGGCTACCTGAAGTGCCTTTACATGCCTTTGACTCGACCATGTTGTAATTTAGTATGTCTTTATTGTTCAACTCCTTTAAACACATATTGCCTGGAACTTGCACTTACTAAAGGATTGCATTATTATTATTACGTGTAATTTATAATGTAGGAGTGAGCGACGTCCCAAGATTGAGCTGTTCCGTACCTGCGTTGCAGCCATCCCTCGTATCATCCCAGATGGCATGAGTAGGAAGGACATACTAGAGCTCCTGACAAGACTGACGGTACACAGGGACGATGAACTCAGAGGGTAAGATCAGTCCGTCCTCCCATACTTTCTTTCCTATAAATGCTAGTACCACTCTTTGAATTGTTGAAGAGTTTAACTTAAAAGTCCAAGTGGTCAAATGAATCGATTAGCAAGTCTTTTCAGTATGAATGCAGGCTTACATAAATGTAGCGTTTATCTACATGTAGACTGTATTGAACAGTCTAAGTCCTAGTCTAGTGTAATTGTCAATCATGAACAACAAGTTCAGTTGTCTTGTGATTTTAACATTTAAGCTTTAATCCCAGCCCTCGGCTTTATCCCGAGTATTCCTAAATGCCAAATCCTACATGTAGCATTGACATTTATTTACATGTACCAAAGAGTTGGGACTGCAGCCCTGTGTTAATAATGCCATGGTTGTGTGTCATCTTTCCATTAAAATTAATCTCAACCAAGCGCTTGATTTTGTAAGAAAGTGATAGGATGGGAATAACTAAAACGCACCAGGAGTTCATTTTCCTTCTTCGCATTCCCAGCCTGGCTTTCACCTCGCTCCAGAACATGGTCCTAGATCTCCCAGAGTGGCGCGATGACTTACTGAACTGCTTCATCCACTTCATCCTGCGGGACATCACCGACACTTTCCCTCTGATCTTGGAGAGCGCCCTCAAGATGCTGTTGCAGCTGCTGTCGCAGTGGCGCACAGCAGTCCAGAGCAAAGAAGACAAGGTGACCAGTCATGTAGAAATTACTCTCGTCCAAAAATATCTTATCATGGGAAACTTTTCGTAAACATAAAGAGCAAGGAAGGGATTTGAAGGTTTGGTTTGTTCTACAGCAACAAGTTTTTACAAATGCTTAGTTACTATAGTATAGTAGAGTTGGCCAATCACAGTGCACGAAATCTGTCGACGCGCGTTTGGAAAGGGTCGACAGATTTTGCACATTGTGATTGGCCAACGCATTACAAACTCTTGGTGGCGCACTATTGTGAATCGCCCGTATTTACCGGCAAGAAGTTACATGGATAGTCAGAGATTAAAATTTGTTGTCTGTCCACACAAAATCTGATATCAACGTGAAATCACCATGTTATGTGATTACTCTTGCTGACCCAATGACTCATCAGCAGTCGGGTCCTGATTCCCAGTTCCATCTGTTCACTTCAGGGGCAAGCCAAGTCACCCTACGAGCGTAACCCCCATGCTAGCATCCTGAACACAGCTGAGGGCTTTGCCCTGGTCTTCCTGTGCAGCTGTCGACCCCTGGTCCGTCGTCTGAGCTTCTTCCTCCTCAAGGAAGTCCGTGCACTCTTCGGAACTCTGGGATACTCAAGGGTAAGGATGCATTTGTTTAATTCTTGCAATTGGTCAGGGTTATCGCAAAGCCCTGTCTGATTATTAAGCACCCTGCCAACTGCAACAGAATGCAACACAAGTGAAATGGAAACCATGCAGAATGCAACACAGCTGAAATGAGAACCATACTGAATGCAACAGAATGCAAAACAGCTGAAATGAGAACCTTGCTGAATACAAGAGAATGGAACACGGCTGAAATGAGAACCCTGCTGAATGCAAGAGAATGGAACACGGCTGAAATGAGAACCCTGCTGAATGCAAGAGAATGGAACACGGCTGAAATGAGAACCCTGCTGAATGCAAGAGAATGGAACACGGCTGAAATGAGAACCCTGCTGAATGCAAGAGAATGGAACACGGCTGAAATGAGAACCATACTGAATGCAACAGAATGGAACACGGCTGAAATGAGAACCCTGCTGAATGTAAAGTTTTTAACTGATGGAGAGGAGACTAAGAAATTCTCAAAAGCAAATGCAGTTTTATTTTTCTTCTCCATTAGAGACTTGGCAGCATTGTAACTTTACTTTCTAAGCAGTTTCTCATGATTCAGGTTGGCTTAGAAGGTACTTTCAGATCCTGTCAAGGATCTTTTCATCACTTTTTTTACTAAATTCAGTTTTGAATGAAGTTGATGCATTTCCTTGGTTCATTTGACTGGGAAAGAAAATTTCTTGTTTGAGCAGTGAAATATGAATTTTATCAGCACACTACTCTTATTGCAAACAAAAAGGCTTGAATTTATAAAACCGTATCATTGGTGCTTTGCTGATGCAATTCAAACCTATGTATTTTTTCTGTGAAAGGGGAGCTTATCAACAGCAGCAGTTTGGGATTGAACTCCTCTTTTTTCTGTTATTTTCCTACGCAGATTGATGACGATGCAGTCATTGATGTGATCGACAAGGCCTGTCCCAGTGTGGTGGAAGGCTTTCTTAATAGGCTCCCTCCCGCGGAAAAGGTGAAGGGTGTTCCATTTTCTCAATCACTTCTAGTAGTCTACCATGTGTCATCTTCATAAAAGAAAATCGTGCCTGGAAGTTACTGCCCTCATATAATCATGCATTACTACATATTACTGGCAAAGAAACCAAGGGTCTCTCAAAGCACCCTAGGCACTGAAGAAACCTGTAGAGACAGAAGAAATCACAGTGGTAGAGATGAAAAGAAACTCCAAGTGAATGTTTTGGGTGGAATCCATGGAGTCAGGTAGGAACCGAAGACCCAGTCCACTTGTCAGCCTGGGTTGGGTTCGAACCTGGAACCGAAGACCCAGTCCACTTGTCAGCCTGGGTAGGGTTCGAACCTGGAACCGAAGACCCAGTCCACTTGTCAGCCTGGGTAGGGTTCGAAACTGGGTCACAAAGATACACAATGAGGAAAGCACCACGACACCTCCATTGTCACTCCCGTAATTCTGTCTAGTCAACGTTTTGTAACATCCTCTTCATCTCAGGCCACCATCACAGCCATGTCCAACATTGACCTGCACTGGGTGGTGGAGCGGTCCATCAACCAGTGGTCGGGCAGCACCTACGAGTCCACGCCCAGCGACTCCATGAGCAAATCGCTGTCCAGCCGCGGCATGGGCGGCTTCAACCCCTGGATCACCTGCCTGGCCCGGTTCTTTGATAGCAGCTGCCTGCCTCACTTCTGCCCAGCAGCCGTCAGCCAGGCCTGGCCTGTGGTTCACACCAGGCTGACGCAGCTCTACACCCACATAGACCCCAAGTAAGTCCTCTGGAAGATTTTAAATCTAATGCCAGAAGTGTGATTTTTTTTTCCAGGCTTAATTTTTTTAAGGATTTTCTGTGTTTTTCACTTCAAAATTGTAATTTCTTTAGAGAAGTTCTGTCAGTCTTTTTTATAAAAAAATAAAAAAGAGAAATAAAGCCATTTTGGAAAGATGCCTTGTTTACTCTTAACCCAGAAAGATCAAAGTATTTTGTTGTCATTGTTACATTGTTGTTGTCTTACTGGATACTCAGACGAATTGTCTTCATTCCACAATCTGACCAAAAACTCCTACACATAGTTTAAGACCAATGGATCTGGTCAGGTAGTGTGATGACACCTTCAGTACAATGTCATGAAGGTTTTAAATTAAGTCCTGTCAGTTTTACAGGTAAGTGTCTGCATATTGTATTTTGGCTAATAAGCATCTACTTCATCGAGGGAATTAAACCAGTAACAAGGTTGTGTGTGGTTGTATTTGGTATATGGTTATGATTGTGGCCACTGTGTTGTTTTAAAAAAGCGGTACATACAATTTACAAGTTGTTGGTTATCAATGTTTTGCCTCTGGTCGACCTCTGAGCACGCACGTTTTCCTTTTTACCTCCAGTGCTCCGTCTGAGGGGCGTACCTCCATCCGCTCCAAGAAAACCTTGAACCCCATGGAGGAGAACATCTCCCTCTGGCGCAACTACCTGGTCTTTGCCTGCAGCTGTGCCCCACCCAGCACAGGGTACCAGACCCCAAGACGTTGCATGTCACCCGACCCCACCAGGTAACTCAACTCGCCTCATCCAAGGGTGTGTCTGATTTGACTGGCTGTGGCTGGGGTAGCACATTTTGTCTGTGGGATGGCCTCAGCTGCTTGTCAGTTGCAACTATAGGGTGCCAATGTCACTGGCAGCCACAGTTATAACTTTTAGACATGGGCTTACATACCGGTAGCCTCGGGCTGTTTCTGCGGTGAGCCTCTTCTACCTTAGCTTGTCGTTGTCATGAAACCAAAGGCGTAGCCCCAAAGAGTAGTTTCAGACGCACCCACATACAGAGTAAATCATATCGCCCTTTTGCATTTAATTTGGTCCGATGTAGTGGTGCATATAGAAATGACATCAAAGCATAAGACCCATCTCAGCGTTGTCTACATCTTCCTCTTAAACTCAAGCACCATGATTAGGATCTATAATTATTTAAATCAAACCTTTGAAAGTGAATGTTTGTGTCCCATTTAACCCTACTTTCAGATATTGTTTTGCCACTATAGGGGGTATTTTGGAACATGTTGGTTTTTGTGGTAATGCAACTTTGAATTTTCGGGAAAAAAAGTGTGATGCCATCCGTGGAAGAAGCCTGAAATGTTAGACCTTGCCCAAATCACTCGGCTGTGGCTTGAGAATACATACAATTCTATTGAAACTGGCTGCAGCCGCTACCATACATTCGTATGTAATTTCAGGCTACATCCAGGTGCTTCAGACATGACGTTAGAGTTATTTCAGCACCAGACCTTACCAAAATTTTAGATATTTGGCAGTATTCAGTTTGGTTTTGATTTGGTGTTGCTCAAATACATGACAGTCATCCAGGAAAATTTTGGTGACCAAATTTGAGCCATTTTAGCAGAACACCCTCATAATGAATCTTGTGTTCCTGGAATGATGTCACTGCAACACTGCCCTCCTTTGCCATGAAAAGCAGAGACAATTTAAGATGTCTGACAACAGAGATGTCAAACCACTTTGATGCATTCAGAGGAGCAGAAAATTGCACAAAGTTTGCGTCTAAGGAACAACCCTGGCACGGCGTTAAACACTGCGACTGAAAAGAGATGGCTGTTGAACTGGAGGGTCAGTTAAACTAAAACCGGAAGCCGGAAGAGGAGATGGAGCGGCCATTTGGGAAAGAAACCCCTTTGACCAATTTCAAATCCCACCCAAGCAATTCTCTGTATTCAGTTCCACTTGAAAAATGGGGCGCAATTGTACTTCTACGTGTGATCCTCAACGGTAGCTTCATCTTTCCTTGCAATAGTTTTCTACAGATTTGCAAGCCACGCTGCCGTCGATCTTTTAAGAATCTTTGCTTTACTGTCTCAGTTCAGGTGCCCAGATGACTGAGTGTGTTCTATGCTTTTCTTATAGTGGATCTTCAGGTGAAATGTCACACGTGGACAGGTCGGAGATCAAAGGGTACATTCTCTCAACGGCTGTCTCAGCTGGTACCCTGTTCAAGATGCTGGTTCCCCTGATCAAGTGTGATAACACGGACACGAGGGAGGCTGTAGTGAATGGTCTGGGATGGACCTCTCCCGTAGCCTTAAAGTAAGGATTTGCATTATTTGATTGGACGGAGCAACTGAACAAAATGAAAAATCCGTTAAGAGAACCAATCACTCAGGGCTGTGCTGGTAGTCATCAAAATTTATGCTCTGCATATTTTCTCCACTGTCGTTAATGATTTATTTTTTATTGTATATACATGTACATGGTTTGGGAGTTCTTCAAAGTTTGATCTGCACTAAACAACTTGTATGCTTTTTAATAATATTAGCTATTGTTGGTCATCACTTTTACTTAAAAAGAAGTGATTTAGTTACAAAAAAATAAGTTGTCAGAGGGTTACTTTTTCTTTTCTGTTGTATGGTGACAAGACCATAGCTGTGCTAGAACATCTCATTTTAAGGTAAATTCATAATTAACGCATCATTTTTTTTTGGTTTTTCTCTTTTTTCAGGGATCTGCTGGACGAACTTCAAATCTTCATCAAAGATGCGGTGGAACGAAAAACAGAAGTGAGTTTCAAAGGTTAAAGTCCAATCTGAATTGATGGATTCCTCCAACCACCATAGCGGATGTGCTTTTTGTCACTGAAGGATCTTCTGATGCATTCCTTGAGGATATGTGACCTGTCATCACAAAATGAGCCGAAAGCCGGAACTTTCGGAAATTGAGATATTGGTAGTTTTGAATTCAACTGGAGCTTTCCAGTGGCACGTGTAAAAATCGGATGACTATAGGACATTGTTCGGGCAGCTTTGCGTCTTAGTTTCCAGCATTGTTTCAACATAGTTAATCAAGCACAAATGATGGTGTATGAGAAAATGATGTTCTTGAACAACTGATCTTGTTTTAAGTTTGGAATTCAATTATTTGGTTACTCTCTCCAAATATTACCAAACCCAGAAATTGAACTCCCCTTCATTTTGTGACTTTGAACCGTCACAAAAAAGGGAATAGGGGAGTGCTCCTTTATGCTCATTTTGTGGTGACAGGTCACATATGGCTTTTCCACCTGTCTGGCAAGTCGCTCAATTTGCCTACTGTCAACTCTTGATGTAAACAGCACTGCAAAGAACAAATTCTGAGGGTTGCAAAATCTTGAATTCCTTTGTTTTTGAGTGTTTTCCCTGTGCAAAATGAAATCAAGGTTGTAGTTTAACAAGTTAACTTGACTGGTCCCAGCAACTTTGTTATAATGAAGGTTGACCAGATGCGTCTTGGGCAACACAAAAGATATGGACTGCCTGTGAATAGTTTGCCATTGAAGATGCACAAAAAAGATTATTATTATTCATTTCTGGTAATGACACCTAGGATTCCTCAAAAGCACCCTAGGCACTGTAGCTCGCATGCCTGAAGAAACCGTTAGAGAGGAGACAATGAGAAGCAGTTACAGTTTTAGAGGTGGGAGGAAAACCCCAGAGGAATATTCTGGGTAAAACCCACGGAATCAGGTCAGCACTGAAAACCCAATCCAAATGTGGACTGAGCCAGGAATCGAACCCGGACCGCAGAGGTGGAAGGCGAGGAAAGAAACACTGCGCCAACCCGACTCCCCAGATGCTGGAACTCTTTGCAGAGTTCTTTTGTGAAACGCATGCTAGTATATTCTGAGCTGCCGTTAACCCTTCCTTGTGATTTGCTTGTAGAACATGCGAAGGAAAAGAAGACGAGATTTCTTGAGAGTCCATCTCATCCGTGTCTTTGAGCTTCTGGCCGAACATGGTGTTTTCAAAGAAAGGTATATCTCAAAGAAACACAATTTTAATAATTGTCCGGTGTTCTTTTTGAGTTCGGGTAAGAAAAAAGTCTTTGTGATGGATGAGTTTGTGTTCTTGGTTTATTTGAAGGAACTTGGAACAAATTAAAAAAGATGCAACTAGCCTGAGGAAAGACAAACAAATTAAAACTTTGCAGTAAAATAAAATGATTAAAACTGTTGAATTTTGATTTTTAAACCAAGTTCAGTGTTGAGGAAGATTTATTCTTTATTTCCGCTGTTTTTATTGCCTAGTAAGTTTTCTTTTGGAACAGGAAAGAAGATTGCGGTCCTTTTTGGCATAGAAAACATTGTAGACGTAATTCATCACAAACTAAAATCAGCATTAGGGGGGGTTATGTGCATAAAGTGATTGTAAACTTCCACGTTTTGGCTCGTTATACAGTTTCAGTGGCAGTTTAAACAAGGACGGTCAGACTCTACACAATGCCTCTGTCCTGGCGGATTACATCGAGAACATGCGACTGGTCTTGGAGAGCGAAGGCGACAAGGATTCTCCCACGCTACATGAGATCAGACTGCACTACAGCGGTCTGGTGGCCAGGCTTATCAAGAGCTTAGCGGGTAGGAACGAGATGCAGTAAATCCCCAGTCTGGCGGAGTCGTACTGCCACACACTCTGGCCATGTGCTAAACTTGGGGCTTCGCTGGATATAATGCATGCATATGTGAAAGCCTGCTGGGTAACGGTTGTAGTCGTTTTCCCCATAGACAGATGTGATACACCTAGCCACTCGTAGTTCATTCATTAGACATGACCTCTATCTGGTACCACAATGTATGATGGGGGGGGGGATCCAACACCCAGCTTCATGTCCGTTACCTGATTTTTTAACCCCCTTGCTTTGAAGTTGTTAGCGCCGTAATAAGTCAGACAGTGCCCTTGGAACACTGAACTATGTGCACCAGAGCTAAATATTAAAGTATTTTTATTTTATGTGAATTTTGTGGGCCTGCATTCAGTGCTCAATGTTACAACACTTGCGACGGAGCTGAAGCTGAGTATTAGAACACTGCCTGGGATTCTTTTAAAAATGTTCAGGGAGTTTGAGATGATATTAATGCAGAGGTGCGAGATAATGAAGGCTTCGCCAGTAGTTCATCAATGGGCCTTAATCAAACTTGTCCCTTCTCAGCCGATGTTAACTCCTTTCCATTCCAGCTGAGAACCGTTTCAACGTTTTGGCGAGGGACGTACGCTACAGCATCTTCTTTCTCTGTGGCTCAATGTGTCGTAAACTGGGCGTGACGTACGGCGCCGTGGACAGGAGTCCTACATACAAGGACGAACCAATCACAGACCTGGAAATGGAGGCCTTGCAGGTAGAAATTTACTTTTCTTCCTTTGATTGTAATCTTCAACTTTTGAACTGTTTGAACACTCTAAGTACCAAAACGCTGTAGCAATAAAACACTGGTTCATTGTGCAATTGTAATTTCGTTTGACGTTCATACGTTGTTGATGTGCTATGAAACACCATTAGAGCAAACCAAGAATTGCTTTGGCTGTGTTTGTTTCACACGGATGCGAATCACAATCGGCGATCCTTCGTTGGTTTACCGACACCGAAAACCCTTGTAATGGATGGTGCAAACCAGCGTTAAGATCACCCATCGAGATCCAGATCCGTGTGAAACAAACACGGCCTTTGACTGCCAAGTTTTACCCCACAGAAGGGAGCTATCAGAATGACTGAGTGAAAAGCAAACTTTGCTATCAAAACCCCATGTCAAGAATTTGACCGATGATAAAAAGCCACGTGCTGCTTGTTTTTGTCCTCGCAACTCAGTCTTTCATGAGGAAAATCACAGTGCCTTGTTCTCAAAGTTCTGGTAGGACACGACAGAAGGTGTTGCTGTGTGTTTTCCGTACCCAGGCTATGTGCGGTCTGCTCGTCTGTGGGGAAGTCTTTGACGCCAACGCTTTATCCCAAGAGGGATATCTCTACACCTGGCTGGATAATCTCCTCAACTGTAACGACGAACGGGTACGGTTCAACCATTCACATCCTTCATTCATCATGATTATTTATCCGTCGGACCTCCAGAAAACCTGTCTCAAGGTCTTTGGACCATGTTTCTTTTCTGTATCTACAGATTATGACCATATGCACTTACTATGACAATCATGTACTACAGTTATTGAAACTTGTCTCTTACTAAGCGTGCTATGTAATATCGTGTGCTCGACACAAGCTTAAGTTGTTCTGATGGTTGCTTGGTTCATTGTGTGAGATCCAGGAGCACAACTATGTTATATACATGTACACTCTATATATGGGGGCTAGGTCTCATGGGGTACAATGATTGATGTATAACAGGTAGGGCCATTAGGATCCAGAGGAGGGCAGAGCTACAAGGACATTCTAAAAAGGGTACTGTTGCTGGGCAGAGTTATGGTGGTCAGGAGTGGACCTGTAAGAGTGCAGGATACTACATGCTACGAAATGATGTAATTGGAAACTTGTCTCCAAGCACCTGTTAGCTGTTGCCTGCAGGTGACCTCATGTTTTGTCTAGGGATTCGTTTTCTTTCATCCCAACCTCCTTGATTCATATTTTATCAACCAACTTCCAGGTGGTGCAACTGGGCAAGGAGACGGTGCTTCTGCTGCTGCAGAACAATCCCCAGCAGCCTATGGTGCTAAGGTGGGCCATTTACAGGTGCTACACAGGACCGCCAGCAGTGGCTAATGGTTACTTCCAAGGCATGGCGTCTGTGCTCAATAACGACAGAGAAGGCAACAGCAATCACAGGTGAGTATCAGTACTACATTCAACCTGTCCATTCATAGGTGCTATGTGTAGGACCAGGCGCAGGTGTCTGATGGCTATTTGTAGGTGCTGCGCCGGACCTGCACAGTTTGCTAATGGTTACTTCCAAGCCATGTTTGAGATAATAGCAATATAGAGTAACAACAGTTGTATGTAGGTATCAATGTACCTACCACAGTGGAACAATCTGCAGCATCCTATGGAGCTTAGATGGGTCATTGACAGGTGCTGTGAAGGACCTAAACAGGTAGCCAATGGCTAGTTTCAAATCATATCATCAATGTTCAAAAGCATTGGAGAGGATAAATTTTCAGAGCCTTGGGGCTACATTCAAGCAAGGGAATACTCCTCACAGCAATTGCTTCTCTCTAACCAGCAGTGACTACCCATGTGAGGTCATCCCTACCCTGTGCGTGGTGCTGCTCAAGACGGCAGACCCTTACAGCAGGGTGCGGTCCACCGCCTTGCAGCTCCTGCAGGTGCTGGACCGGCGGTTCTTTGGCTTGGGCGGGGTCAAGAGCAAGCTGAAGCCAACCTACGGCAAGTCTCACAGGGCGTTGTCCCACGAGCTGGCACGGCTGCATCCCGAGCTCACCCTGGCCGTCTTCTCTGGTAGGTGGTAGGAGGCTAGTTGGGAGAGCATTTCATGAGTTGGAACAGTTGGAACGTCCTGTACAAAATGCTGTTTGCTCATTCCGGAACGGACAGGCGTTCCACTAGGAGCGCAGCATTCCCAGTGGTATGCTGCATCAGTGCCGTCTAGGCACAAAGCAGACTGTTTCTGCTGATGTGTGGACATTCCGATGAAACACTAGTGTTCTGGTGGGGAGGGTCCTACAGAGCATTAACGTTCCTGACGCTCGAGATGCTCCCTCACAAGACTTGCCCCATAGTTGCGGTAATCCAGTCAGTCACTACTCAGTCACAAGTCAAACAAGTTTGGTCTAGTAAACCAAATGTGAATTCAGGATTGGCTGCACCTGGATGGCTAGAGCTGGATTTACATTGCTGTGTTTGACCGGTGACAGGTGTAGGGGTTGTTTAAATCAGGTGTTTACCCTGATGGTGTTTTTGGTCTGCAGTTACGTAGACACGTCTGTGAGTGGATAGAATTCCAAATGAAATTGGTTTTATTAGTTTTTCTTTCTGCTTCGTAGAAATCACGGAGCGTTTTGAGTCGGCACCGCTCACTCACCGCCAGGCCATGCTGGAGATCCTGCTACCCTGGCTCTACAATGTGGAGTTGGTCGGAGAGACCAGCCGAGACGGGACGGTTCCAGGCAAGCATGAGAGAGACACAGATCCTGAAGACCAAGACCACGGCAGTCCGCTCAAGACCTGCGGCTGGGGGTCCAAGCAAGCCTCCGACATCGTCTTGAATAATCTCTTCTTTATCACCTCGGAGGTAGGAGAGACATAGACCAGCTGGAACCAGTATCTCAGAGCTGCTAAACTCAGGAAATCCTATCAAAGCACAGTATTTGAAAAAAACAAAAACCCTTAAAATATCAGAGCAATGTGGCACAAGACTTCTTGTGTTGTTATTTAAATATTTGTTATATACTGTACTTGTACCCATGGATTCAAATTTCCTCCGTAAAAGGGTTTCTATCTGCAAATCAAAAACAGTTTGCCACAGTAAGGCTGGTATTGTCTAGGCTAAGAGACAATTCATACTTCACAGGAAACAAAACTGAGATGAGTCTCAGGATGATAGTTGTTTGTGATGTTCCCTTTAACCCTATGTTACAAAATGAGCTGAGCTCTAAAGTGTTTGTGGAGTATGATCCAAACTCAATAACCCGAGTGAAGTAGACGTGTACTCAGTCCCTAAAACGATGGACTTCAAAATGACTGAGCAGAAATCAGTCCAGAAATTAGTGTTGTATTACTCAGTGGTTTTTTGCTTGTTGTTATCACATGCTAAAAAGGATAGACTGCTGGCTGGCATTTTAAGATTAGCCAATGACAGCTAGGCTTTTTCTCTGTTTGCCCTTTTACTAATAGTACGGTGATGACCACTCACAAGAACTGGAGCAACTCTGGGCAGCCCTATGCACCTGCTGGTCTGGTAACCTGCGTCACATCCTGACCTACTTGATGACTCTGGCCGGTATCATGACCAATCCGGATCTCCTACCATATGTGAGTAATCACAGAGTGTGGTATGCTGGGATACGTAGGAAAACCTTAATAGTTAGACATGCATTCAGTGATACATTTTGGAGAAAACGGTCCAAAATGGCAACATTGGAGCCTGTGGTAAAGTTCAGTAATTTCTAGCGGCGACTTTTTATGTTTGTCAGTCGGTTGTGGGGGGCTCTGACCCCCCCCGCCAATGACAGCCAAGGGGTTCATGTTTTCCTTCTGAGCAGTTCAAATTCTTTTTGAATTAAAATTTCAAGAAGTAAAGATGAAGTATTTGCTTTTAAGGTGAACAATAGATTTTTCTGTTTTTGCATCTGAACTCTTCAGTTTGAGTCAATGTGGCTCAAAAGGCTGGAATTTATCTGTCATTTCTTTGGCATGAAACTGTTTTTAGTCAGTCCAGATGGGATGTCAGTCCATCACATGTTGTTTCCAAGCTGAATCTGGCACTTATTGTTGGACAAATAAAGTGACATCAGGTGGAGTTGAACTCCTGACCTTTGGAAATCATGACATCAGAACACATTCCCCTCAGTTTGTGTTGGCACGTGCACTGCATCAAATTAGACCAAATTTTCCACTGGCTTGAACTAGAACAAATACAAACATGTTTGTAAAGTTTTCTGCACCAGAGTTTTTGGGAGATTTGTTTGGTTTTGTTGGATTTTTCTGTTCCATGCTTCATGACATTCTGTAGTGCAATACCCTGCACTTTATAAATTGTTAGTGTATTTGACCTCCTTTTTTATTTGCCAGGTCAAGCGTGTGATGACCTTCATTGCCCAAGCCAAACCCCAGAAGCTGATGGACGATCTCATGAAGGAAATGTTCTCCACTGAGCTGGTCAACTCCAGCGTGGAGCGGATCGAGGAGGCCCCGTACTTCCAGCTCTTTAACCAGAACAAATTCTCCTCCGCCTCCCCCGAAATGGGGAGTACAAGCTCCCTCCCCGACAAGGTACAGAAAGTGGAGGTGGCCCGTACCACGTTGGACAAAGGGGTGTTTCATCGGAGGAGCAGCAGCGGTGGGACGTTGGAGAGAGTGTCAACTCCCCAGAGTGGCAAGTCGCTGGCCTCTCAGGCATCCTCACAAGACATCTGGAAAGAGAGGGATAAATCGGACAGGTGAAAGTTGAAGAAAAACGGCCAGAGATTGAAATTCTTTCTGGTATTGTACCCAAAATTGGGCACTCTTAATCTTATGTTGTTCTGCTGTAAAGTTTTTTCTGCAGTATTTTTTCAATCATCAGGCTGTAATTGTGTTACAATTCTTGACTTCATCTGCATCTTTGTTAGAGAGTTCTGAAGCTCATAATCAAGCCAACATTGCCTCGTATTCACCCCCCACAGCTCCATGCATCACAGTAACAGCAGTCTAGCTACACTGACCAGCACCTCAACACATAGCAGTGATCAATCAACGACAGGAATCGTAGACAAAACCAGGTACCCATCAACATATGGCGTGGATGCAAGCAGAACCCCTGGTGTATATGTATGCAAAGCCCAAAATTACTCATGCACTTTGTGACACGTGGCAGTTTGCTATTTTCTCAAACCAGTTGAACTAGACTGATGGTTAACCCAGGCACCCAAAGACTAGCATTCCCTTCGCAGAAGCTTATCTGGGCAGACGTCTTAGCTTGTGGTTGTCAATTCTGTTGTCTTTTGGCTATAACCTTTCTTTTATGTTACCCGTATTTGGAATGGGTACGAATTATCTGGGGCTTAACTGTACACGAAAATGGAATCAAATGCGGTGGAAGTTAACGTCTGAATATTTGACTGGTAAATCTGATCTGATCATGGAACAGCTGGACAAGAGGAAAATGCTTGTACTTGAGTGCCATTTTGTGGCTGGATGATTTGATCCAAGTTAGGGTCTGTTGGAGCAGATCTTTTTGGTTGTTCCAGAAGTTCTCAGCAGCTGTGGACTTTCTTTTGGGGCTGAAAGTTTCCATACACTTGGGAGATAAACAGTTTTCCTCAATTTTTTGTTTGAAATACTTTTGCCAACATTTTTTTTACGAGGTCAGACAAATTGCATATCAACTAAATGTTCCTAGTGTGTACTTCAATTGAAAGTAGTCAGAGACATTTATTATGCTTCAAGATGTTAATATTTCTGAAAAATCATTTTGTGAAATTTACATCTACCCATTTATTGTTGTTCAAAAGCATGCAGAAAGCGGTCCACCACAACTGTGAGATGTAGCCAAAAATACAGAAAGTGGCACTAAATATTAGGGTTGGAGCATGTAAAATGTTGATCTTTTTGTAAATAATATGGATCATATATTATTATTATGTCCGTGGGTGTTTTTATTTGTCACATATACCACGAACATTCAGAGGAGACCCATCTTGTCTGTCTGTCGAGGGAAAACTGTTTTTGTTCTACCAGGTGTATGTAAACTTTTTGCCCCAATTGTACATGTATGTATTCATTGGTGTTGCCTATGCAGTGCCATGAACCATTTGGTAAAGTTCACTCGGTTGTTTTGTCAAGAGACACTGTTCCGCAGTCCTTCAGGGTTTGCATCTTCAATAATTCAAGGAACCCCCCCAACACATTGTCCAGCTGTGTCTTCTTTGGTTGTGTTTGTCCTTTTGCTCCCCTGTATGTGGGTCTGACCTCCCCAGGGCAGACCGTTTCACTCACTTGGCCCAAGGGTCTTAACCAGTCGCAACAATCAGTCAAGCCTCTCACTGATACTCATTTTATTTTCTATCAGGCTGTCTCCAGCTATCAAGGAAGAGGAGGAAGGAGAAGACGAGGCCGCGGGGGGCCAAGCCAAGTCAGGCGAGAGCCTCCAGGACCAGTTTGCCAACTGGAGGAAGCAGTTCCACGGTCTGGGCAGCGTGCTACCCCTGCCTGTGCCGGTTGAGGTCTACTGCGCCCCGCTGTCTGACTACATCGATGACATAGAGGCCCCGCCGTCTGGATCGCTCTTCAGGTCAGTAAGGAGGGACCTCAGTGAAATGAACCTAACTGCATCCTCATCACGAATGGTGCAGAATTTGGCCAGGGTACAAGGTTTAACTATTTGACTGCCCCCAGGCATCTCCCTCCATGGGAAGTGTTGGTTTTTCAAATCAAGACTTCCTCGGTTTCTACTCCATGTTTGAGCAGGTGCCTGCTTGAAACTGTCCCTACCGCGCTCTCATTATCTCTGTCAGTTTGGGCTTGCTTCTACACAGAGCAGAATTCATCGTGACTGACGAAAAAATGGGATGATTCCATTATGTTCGGGCGGGGGAAGCGTAGAGAATCTGCCCAGCCAGCTGGTGCACACTCTGGCTATAAACATACCTCACAGGTGAGTATTGACAAGACTCAGACAAAAAATATGGAGCGTACAACTCATTCAGCATTGTTGTCCACCTTTTATCCAATAGATGCAATCTTGCCACAGTGCTCATGACAGATCTGGTCTCAGAGAACTTGGACATTGATTGGTCCATTCATCTGCCCCAGATATTACACGTTCTGTTTCTTGGTAAGACATGATCATGCAGTGGAACTCACGACAATCAGTATCACAAATTACATTTTCATTGTTCGTTTTGTTAGCAGTTGGTTTTGATTGGTTTGATTTGATTTGGGATTGACTAGATTATAATTCTAGTAATTTTTAGAATACTGCTTGACCCTAAGTCATATTTTCTCTCAAACGGTCATTTCCAAATCAGTTTGCACCTCGTCTCTTCACTTCTTCCCACAGGTCTGGACCACTCCTGGCCTGTAGTCCATGAACACTGCAAGCGCCTCTTGTTGAATCTCCTTATAGCGCTCTCCCCTCACAATGACTATGTCTATGTGGCTCAGATGCTGCTGTCTCATCAGGTCATCAGTGATCTCCATGCTCTGACGGAGGCCCACATACCGGTCAAAGAGTATAACTTCACAGGTCAGGATGCCAGACTTGTGCTGTGTCCCATGTATCAATGTTGTTTGTCCAGATCCTGCAAAGAGAGTCTCAGGGATTTATTTTCATTTGTTAATTTTCCATCTGCATTGAATAGAAAGGGCACACTGTAATTGCTCATCAGCTTGATGTCTGACTCAGTTTGA